TGTGGAACCTTTCAGAGACTGTTTTCTCTAAGTCAACAAAGGCCCCTCCAACAATAAAAAGTATATCCTTTGTATCAATCTGCAAAGAAACACATATGGAAGAACAGTCATGAATGGATTTGAAATAAAAGAACTCTGTGGACGATATGCAACATGCCATGACTTCAGAGTAACAACAAAACCTTATGTCCACGTACCAATATATTGTCACCTCTAGGATGTTTTCGAGCTCCTTTCTCAGGAACATTGACAACCTTGATGGAAAAAAAGTGCCATAAATAAATAGAGAATGAATCACAAAAGCAGTTGTTGTGGATAATTGTAAAACAAGTTCACTTGATTTGAATGTTGTATCACTGAAATGAACTTACTGTTCCCTCAAGCATCTTTAATAATGCTTGCTGAACACCTTCCCCTGAGACATCTCTACTGATGTTAAGGCTTTCAGCCTGAAAGGTAAACAGCAGAAGATGCGGGATACAGTGAGGGGGGAAATGTTAAATTTTAATGAACAAACACAAACAATAATGGGGAAAAAAGGACATTCTAGGGGAACCTTTTTGGTAATTTTGTCAACTTCATCAATGTAAACAATGCCTTGTTGTGCAGCCGCCACATTGTAATCTGCAACCTGAAATTACGCGATGCACCATTAAATCTATTCATAAAATGCACATACAGTTACATAGCAGAGTTCAAATGAGATAAATAGGCTAGTTGCCAGCTTTTCTAACTAGAGGTAGAAATAAAAGGTGTGAATTATGACACAACATAAAAAGTGTGAACTATATCATCGAATGACGGATATTTAACTTAAACCTCAGACCATTCCATTGCCAATAAACCACAGGATGATAAAGTCTAATCAGGCCAACTTATTGAAAGCCAAACTTCATCTCACCCTAATAAATAATAATCATCAAGAGAATTTAAGAAAACAACAATGCTAAGAAGATATAAATGACAAAGGACAAAAGCAGATTACATGGACTAATAAATAGGCGTAATAGGCTTATACTGCTTTATTTGAACAATGCAAGTGGACTGGCAATTAGAAATTCTTGTGTAGAGAATTAGACTTTGCATCCTTTTGATGTTCACAAATCAACTAATTTAACAACTCAAACTTCCTTTTCAGCCTCCCACCATAATAATCCAGCATGGATACAGACATCATAGAAGACTAACCCTCTTTCCCACTACTTTGGCAAAGAGGTTTTGATTAGTAGACTGCAAAGAAAGACCTCTCTTACCTTCTGATGTCTGAAGCAACATTCAACTGTACCATGTTTATATTCCGGATATAGATAATATAGAAAACCCTTCTACCAAAATAAACAGATAAAATAAAATAAAATAAAATAAACTTCTGACGCAGTATTATTTGACCAACACAGACACCAACCTAACATACTAAGAGTGGATGAAATATGCTTCTAAAAACTAATTTTAAATTATATATTACATGTTCAATTCACATATCAAATATCATCCAAGAAGGTCGGAAAAGAATTATTGACCTAGTCCCAGCCATTGAAAGAAAGCACAATGAATATAATGTATAATTAACATAAATATCAGAGTATTTACCATAAGAAGCTTGTATAATATTGACTCCACATCTTCCCCAACATATCCTGCCTGCAAAAATATGCTATCAACATTATAAAAATATTATCACAACAAATTTTACTTAAGGAAAATGCTTAGGTCAAGTTACTTATATCCATTATGTCAAGTTCTCCAACCACATATGGCCATGTGTTTTTGTTTTTTCCCATGTGGGTTTATAATTAAATGATATTAAATGCAAATATTTCAAAAATAGAACACATGATTGTGTGATTAGAGAACTTGACATAATGGATATAAGGAACTTGACCTATGTATGGTCCTTTATTTCATTGTCAATTAGACAAAACAATATTAACACTGATGGATAATACAAAAGAATCTTGGAATAAATACGAATATTCAAATCACAGGAGAAAACTAAATGTACATATATGTACACGCAAGAAAACAAGCATTAGCCAAATATACAGCTCCTAATTTGTCTGTGTTCATAATGCATATTAATTGTCCACAATTTTTGTGAACACATATAGTACACTGTTTATAATGTTTAGAGACCAAAGTGAATTACTTCATTGTATTTACTTTACTTAACTTGCCTGAGTGAGTGTAGTTGCATCTGCAATAACGAAGGGAACATTTACAAACCGTGCTAGGGTTTTGGCGAGTAATGTCTTTCCTGTCCTTGAAATGGCATCAAAGAAAAATTAGTTAGACTAGTAACCAAAAGTAACAATACGGTAAAATTACTCAGTGAGTATGATTCAAGGATAGAATCAAGATCGAATCAACATGCTATGACAAGGTGAAGGACTATAAAGCAGAGTTACGAACCTTAAAGGCAATTCTATTTAAGAGAAAAGTAAAAACTAATTCACCTGATCCTGTTGGCCCCATCAAAAGAATATTGCTCTTCTCAATTTCAACTCTATCTTCATCAACAGTATCGGCTTTGTCATTATGTGAATCTCCTGCAGGCCTAACGTTCCAAATAGTAAGAACAAGTCAAAAGTAACATCACTATTTTAGCGAGTCTTGGGATGCAATAACTATCTGTGATCAACAAAAGGGTGATAGTAACAGACATAATTGGCTTACACTTGTACCAAGCTCACAAGCAGAGAAGAGACAAGGAAAGAAATTGCAGTGTGCTCAAGTAGTATACTAACCACTTGTGCGAAGATTCATGAAATATTCTCTTATAGTGGTTGTAAACTGCCACAGAAAGCACCTGCATTTGAGATACATAGTTACGGTAACCTGATACCCCAAAAAAAAAAAAAAGTGTACGTCTTCCCTTTTGTAAAAGCATTGTAGGCGAAGAAGCGAAGCAGTCCCAAGCAAAATTATTGAATCATATATTTTCTTGGGTATAGTTACCGCATTATATTTAATCAAGCAGACAAAACATGTAGCATACACAGGTCATCCTTAGTAGATAACCAGGTAATCATGTGTAAGCTCACCAACTTCGCCTTGAACACCAATAAACAGAGAAGAACAATAACGCATTACAACTAGCATTCTCCTTTAAGCATATAGGCAAGGACTTTACAGCTAATAACCAATTAAGTAATACAACTGAGTACTACGACAAACATAATGAGAAAAGAGTCACCTTCTTGGCTTTCTCCTGTCCAATTACAAATTTGTCGAGTCCCTTACAAATCTCCTTTGGCGTTGGAAGATTATGCCCCAAATTGGATCCACCCCAGTCCTCATCCTTTGAATTCGACCCAGAATCACCTCCTGAACCAGGACTAGGACCGCCGCCGCCGCCGCCGCGGACAACATTAAAAGTCGTATTTCCCGGCCGAACAACAATTCCGCCACCCGACCACACCTCGGGCGGGTCCCCGTATGAACAAGTAACAAAGTTGGACTCACTGCCCATTTTGTCACCTAAGTTTTTATTACAATTCTGAGCTTTTCCCCTACCCTCCATAAACTGGGTGCCCTTTTCGATGAAGTCGCCGCGCAACGAGACGGGCTTGAAGGAAGTGAAGTGATAGGGAGTATTCATGAAGCGCTCATCCCACTTTGTGCGACGCGTACAATGAGAACTGGGCATGCGACCAGCATGCATATAATTGTACACAAAATATCTGAACTGAACGAGAGTGAGAGAGGCCGTCTCCTTGTAAGGCTTCGATCGAAGCACGGCAGCCATGTGACCCGGTCGAAGAGTTTCACGCAAAGTTGAATGATACTACACTGAAAAAGTAAATTTTGGGAATATATTGTAATAGGATAGAGCGCGAACTGGGTGGGTTTGCTTAAATTCAGCTAATCGTATGGGTGAAACTTGAAAAAGAGATATGTTACAGCTGAAGATAGGAAAGAAGATGAAGATGGTGGAAGCATGGACAAGTTGGAAGATCAAGAATATGTGAATTCAGAAAACAGAGAGGCCTCGAGAATATCTAACGTTGTTAGACGGAGTACGAATTGGAGGCAGAAAAAAAACATCGGGAAGAGTAGAATTCCCCCTTTCTGTGTTATGGTTCGGAGGTGATGCTATTTTTTTTTATCAGCAGTACAAAATCATGTAAAACGAGGCATTCTTTTTTCAGTTCTAGATACAAAACTCATTTTATAATATAAATTTATATTATAAAATATGTTTACTTTATTTTGTTACCTATTTATATTCTCTCTCTTTTTGGGTGGCAGGGTGTCAGGGAAGAAACCCGCACAAAACAGTGCTGCCGCCGCCCTGAAGTGAAAATAATACTCGTTTAAGGTTGTCCAGAAAACTGGTTAAGGATGTTGCAGTGAAGTTGTCTTTCTTCCCTCTTTTTCTCCGGTTTTAAAACTCTTTTTTTTTTTACAAAATAAGTACGAGAGGGTGCTAAACTATCGTCTTGCTGTTTTTCTTGTCGAAAAATCTATCGTCTTACTGTTGAAATATACTCCCTTACTAAGATAGAGAGAAATGTTTTTATTAATCCTATTTTGTTCTTTATTTGTTGTAATATATATAGTTATTTTTTTTAAAAGTATATATACTAAGTAAAGGTAAAGTTGACAAATTATTATATTCTAAAGGAGAGTTAATATAATTTAATATTTTTCTTAAAACATGCTAAAAATAAGCATAAGTGCTAATCTAGTTTATGTTTTGTTTTCCTAGGGTATACGTGTATTCGTTCATTTTTTATTTATTATGTGCATTGTATAAATTTCAATTTCTGTAAAATTATATATATAATTCAAATAAAGAAAATAATAGATAAATAAAACTATGACACACCCGGAATTTTCAGAAATTCAATGAATTTCCAGAATTTGCCCAGTTTAAATATATTTAACTTTCCATTACATTAAACTAATTAACATGCTAATAAGTCACTAATGTAACATGTTATTACATGAAATCACAAGGATATGATAATTATAATTTAACTTAGAATATAAGAATATACTTTCTCAAATTTATATTTGGCTTTTCATTTTTATTCTTGTTCTTTTTCTTACACTACCACCAATAACCCTCTTTTCACGGAGGAGGGATCAAACTTGAAATCAACTCAGCTTGCTAGTGCAACCTATTTCAGAAGCACAAAGCGCAATTCCATGCATGTCACATTTACACTCCAGGATCCCAGGCCAATAAATTGAAGTTGAGAATTGGTAAAATACAAAAAAAGGGGGCCTACTTTGTATCATACAACTTGCATATCCAAAACCAAAAGGGGGAAAACCACCACTGCACAATACAGGTTTCCTGTAGTGTTTCCCACGTTTTGTATGATGATGACAATTAGACCTGTGCAAAAAGAGTACATTCTATCAAAAGCACCCAATAAAAGCAAAAGACTGAACACAGCAAACGCTTCAAAAAAATGGCTCACACATGCACAAGCCGCAAGTTCAACCCATTTAAATCAATAAATCACGGAGCCTTTCATTTATTTTGTGTGCAGTGGAACCCTAATTTTGAGAATAACGCAAGACGGCTTAAGATAACATCAGATCAAGAACGAACTCACTCATATCCTCCGCATTAATCTCATGGCTTCAGTTATAGCAGCGTTGGCAGCATACAGTGCCATCTTCTTTATCTATAAACAAATAATTGTATGGTGTAAAGAACATCTTAAACGCAGTATGTTGGAATTCTCTTAGTATAATAGCACATAGTATAAAGCCTAATAGAAGACAAACATTTAAAACTCGTGTATTGAATAAATTACTAATCATTTCGATAAATACTCTGGCAGTTCTGAAACTAAATAGAAAGAATGAAATCTGTGACATTATTGCATAAGGAATAAAGCATTCACAAGTCTAAGATCAATGAAAACACTTCATAATAACATCAGGACTGAATAGCGCTTGGGTTGAGGTCATAATGTGATATAGATTAACTTTACCTCCAGTATATCTTCCTTCGATCTATGTTTCTTCGGAAGCAGCCGAAATTCCTCCGTCAATCGAACACACTCTTGAACATTTTCAGGTGAAACAAAGTCTAGAGCCACTTTTATGCAAGACTGGGAGAAAACACTCACACAGACACAAATGTTTCAAACTTGAATAAGGAAACTTCCCGAAGTTAAAAACTTGCAAATGACTGATCAAGGATGGCTACATATAGGATGGTTATGTACAATTGTGATCAGTAATGTTGGTTTTTTTTTCCCCTCTCCTACCTTCTCTTCCCCACCCCCACCCCCACCCCCTTTCTACCGTTCCTAGCCTTGCACCCTAAAGAGGCATATGACAGTTTGAGATGTGTGGGTTTATATTTTTACCTGTCTATTCCTCACTTGATGCGGGCACCCTGCAGGTATGAAAACAGCCTCGCCAAGGTGTTGCTCAAATGTCCATGGTTCAATGCCTGAAGCGAAATTCCTAGTTGCATAAATTCAGCCAAATGACATAACTAGTTAAGACACAACATCATACCAAATTCTTCCTTTAGCTGCTTTTTATGTCTTTCGTTTAGATAAAGAGTCTGGTCATGAATTGGATGTATTATCTGAAAAGCAATAAGAGCAGGTGAATTAAGAAAAGAGCATCAATTAAGCAAACTAAGAAAATTTACTAGACACGCACAGAATTCACAGGAAGATTATTTATGTGGCGGAATTCTCTGTAGTGTTTTTTCAGGTACTCCATCAGCACCGGCACATCTTGCCTGCGAAATATGTCCCATACAGCACTCCCGTATTGGGTCTCTAACGCATCATCATTTTCAAGGAAAGCTTTTGCTGTTCTCGTATCATTTCTAAGTGACTCAATTTTGTGATTCTTGATTTCAGAACATGCCCCTGCAAAATTTAACCGACTGTATGGTTTTTCTTCTTCTGTTCTAACATCAGGCTGATTACAGTCTAGAAGATTCAAATGTCTTGCAAAATCCTTTATCGCACCTTGTTCACAAGACTTGTGCAGCATGGAGTCACGACCCGTGTTAGTCCCCTCTTTCAAAGAGCTATTAGTGTCAGTGTCGCTCACATTTCACAGAATGATATTGAATGGAAACATTTCACCCCCTAGTGAAGAAAAAAATCTTACCAGCACAGGAACTGTCACAATCATGCTCAACGTTGGGAATGATTCCATTAGGAGACTCCTCAGCACACATGCACGTGCCTTTTGATTCAGATTGTTCTGTAAAATTTGTTGAATTGACCTGATTTACCCAGGCTGGGAGAGTGCATAATTTCAAATCAATGTGGAAGGTACATATACCAGGTTACATTCACAAAGCCCGTTAGTTTCACGCATACCATAAGTTTTTTCTTTTTCATGACTGTCTTTTGTGGATGTTCCAGACAGAATATGGTCAGGGGATGAAATTCCTTCATGATGTCCATCATGTGATAACGAGCTTTTTTGGACAGCATTCTTAACTTCACCATGCGTCCGTTCAGAGTCTTCTTTCTGAAATGAAGAAAAAGAATTATGACTATTAAAATAAGATGTTGAACCTTGCATACAAATTGTCGATTACCGCCCCAAGCAATAACTTACTTCAAGTTTGGGAGAAGCTGCACGTTTTAGAGCGCAAGCTGCAGTATATGCTCTTGAGGGTCCCAAATCTCCAGAACCATTCCGCTGTTCATTCATATTCTCTTCCTCTGATACCTGGCTTTTAAGTACAGTATAGTCTCCCACGATAGTGTCTTCTTTTCTAGGGCTTTTAGAACCCTTGTTCGTATCCAGGCAGCGCCGTTTTGGCTTTTTCCTACAAGAAGTCAATCCTTCATTCTTCCTGTCATAGAGTGCACACATATCTTCAGCTTCATGCTTTTTCTGTAATTTGATTATGGCTTTTCTTTGCTGTGGTGGTCTTTTTACTTCAGCTGTATGTGTCAATATATTGACCTGATCAATTAACAGCAATCAGCTAAAAGGAGCAATCCTAGAGTACACTGGTCATACTGAAGCATAAAGACAATAAGAGATGGAGAAACACAAAGTGAGATGCAATGTGGGACAGTAAAGTATCAATGTTCCTCAAAACATTCAAACTCTTGACTCTGGGAAGCTAGGACACCTCTCTCTCTCTCTCTCTCTCTCTCTCTCTCTCTCTCTCTCTCTCAAACAGCTATAAAAACGACTGCATATAGAACAGGAACCAAACAGAATCATCAAGATTTTACTAGACAGGTAAAGCAGGTATGTATCTAACGACAATATGCGCACATCCTCATGGTATAAAACCCTTCTGCACCCAAAGGGGGGGGGACAACTCCACCAAAGTTCTTTCTTTGCCCCAAAAACTAGACTATGGTCTGAAACAGGTTGCAATATTTATGACGTACGAATAGTGTGGCTTCCTATATGTTCAAATTATATATTTATTTCCTTCTAGGTATAAATTGTCAAAGAGGCAAAAGGACTGATTTTGACTTTTAAGCAACAAGTGCTGAATAAAAAATCATATCTGAAGTTAAGATTTACCGCATCTGATACGTCACAATGTAGTTTTGCTACAGAATCACCTCTACCGAGCTCTTCCAAAGATCCATATGCAATGTATGTTTTGGGGCCCAAATCTGGCTTTAAAACGGCAGGTAGCTTTGTAGTAAGATTTAGAATACCAGATGTGGGATGAGTATAGTCACTAAATGGAAGCATAGCTATAAACTCAGCACCATGCCTAGGCAAACACTCTTCGAAGGCATTTGATGGAGGCCAATCCTTTAGCTTCAACATCTCGGGCCACCCATTTCTATACCTACGACCTTCAAGGTAGCCCTTGAAGAACTGGAAGATATTAATTTCAACCTGCAGCACCATGAAGAGACACAAGATTCTGAGGTTTTAGATCACAAGACAAACTTCCAAAAAGAAACCATCAGCCAATTTCCCACCCAAAAAGAAATCAAAGCTGCCAACATCTACAGAAGTAGAAGCATTAATTTTCCCTATATATTATTCACTTGACTTTAAAAAAAAAAAATTCTAAGCCATTACACGTTTATAGATAGAAATTTCCATTAATACATACATCACCATATAAAAATTGAGGTGGAGGTGAAACAAAACAACTCAAAATACTGGATTCGTTTTACGTAATTCCTCAAATAGCTGCATTATTATAATAGGTTAACAAGTAAATTTTTGCACATGCCTCAAAAGGAGCACTAACTTCTTGGTTGCACTGCATGCAAGGTAGCCATCTAAAAGAATTCTTTCCTACAGAAAAGCAACTGTGAATCAAAATGCAGACGATCTTGTTATAATGTGATTAGATTCCAAGATTTTCTTCGTCAAGGTAATCAATAAGCACATTCAATTCAGTGCAGAAATGTAAAAATCTGCAACTAGTAGGGTTTATTTGTTAGTCTTGTTAACTAAGATTGTTTACTAGAATGACACAAAAAGACCCAAATTCTCTACCAAATATTTAAAAGGAAACAATACCACAGTAAAGAAGGCTAAAGAGTGCTAGGTAAATTCAATCTGGATATTCAAGCAAGCATGTACCTCGCACCAATCTAAGCAGTCAATGGCTTTGACCACAGTTGCCTCCTCTTTTAGTATCCTCTTTGCCCCTCTAAAAGCCCTCCACATCACCATTGGATCCCAGCTAAGGCCCCTAGCCTTTTCAAAAGCATTCCTAACTATAACAGGCTCACCTCTCACCCAATGCATCTGAAAATGCTTGAATTCTTTATCTCCCATGTGCATAGCATTTGGGCAGAACAAAAAATTATCATGACAGTTTTCTCGGGAAGCCGCCTGCCTTTCAAAATCCTGTACTGTATCAATCCTAAAGTTATGGCACAATAAACAACCTTCAGTTGAATCAGCATTAGGGGGCTTGTATTTGCTTGTAAGTTCCTCGGCATTCCCGATCAATTCATCCACCCAGTTAGCTTTAAAAAGGCGTCTCAATGAGAGAATTGTAGCGCCACAGCCTCCCCTTGATTTTGGCGGGCAAGGAACCAAACTATTTATATTTGCTTTCCAATAAAGTTCAGATGAGGTATCAGCCCCTCCATCATTGCTGTTAGTGGAAATATCTCCACAATGAAGTCCATTTCTTAGTTCTATGCAACAAATGAGGCAGAGATCATAACTACAACTAGGATTAGGACAACTTCTGTGCATGTTGACGATGGATGTATTACAGTTGTCACTGAAATACGTAGATTATGGGAAACTGAAATAAGTTCACTATGACTACATCCAGAGATGATGACAGAATTGAATTAAAAAGCAAACTGCAAAATGCCTATTCCAAAACAAACAGAACGGTAGATACAAACGCTAGAGAATAAAAATTGCATTTTGATCCAAGGAAGATTTTACATTTAATACCATGAACTTATAGAGTCACTTCAGCTATCATTTTTGGAGGGGAAAAGATCAAGAATAAACTAAATCTATATACCACATTCACTGGCAATATCACATCACCTAGAGACAGAAAACACACAAAAGTCAAAGGACAACAGCAAATAAAGCTTCCATACTAGTACGTCTAGTGCCTGTGTCATTTAACCAATTGAAAGGCACAGATCAATGCCTTTGCGTGAATTTGGCTTCAAACATAATTTTCAAGAATATGCAAGGCAATTTAGGCACACTAGAATTCAGCCAGTCAATGCAAGTAAACATAGTAAACTATACCATGTGAATGAAAATATAAGAAATAACATAACCAGAATGCTAGTTTCAGCAACGAGGGGATGAGAAGTAATACCAATACACTCGATCATCATCATCAATCTGTGACTGCATGATATTTTCTTCTGTCAGTAGTGAACCTGAGAAAATTGGGAAATTGACCACTTTTCAGTCCAGTAATGCAAGTTGCATAATCATGACTAAATAAAATCAGGCTACCATGCAAGCTAGATTCTATTTCCATTTCTGATCTCTGCTCTTGTTGGATACGCTGGAGTAAAGGCAGAATGTTCTTGAGCAAGTAAAGCAACTTTTGCAAATTGATGTCAGTATCAGGTTCAACACTTGCGGTCTGCTGATACATAATTCATTTTGTGTTAAAATTAAGTACGTTAGATGTCAGAAATAATAAGAGGAGTGTGGTTATTAGTTAGTCAATAGGACTTGTTTGCTAAGTAGTTAAAATTTACTAAGCCAGTAGCTGAAGTAGAACTGAACTCTCCCTTAGTTTAGGTTGGTATAAGTAAACCAGAGGACTAGGTAGAGGTTATCGTTGAGTCTTGAATGAATTCCTTGAAGTCACTTTTTTCCTCCAGTCTTTTGCTAAAACAGCACTGCATTGGTAACAGAAAGTAGAAGGAAACACAAAGGGAAAGAAAAAAATGTACATGCCTCTGCAGATACAGCCTCTTTCAAACACAACCGACAATTGCAATTACCAAGGCAAAAGGGACAGGAAAGCTCCATCTCCTCTCTTGTTTTGTTTGGATACCTAAGTTATTTTAGAATAAATATCATCAGAATAGGCAGCAATTCATACTAAAATTCTAAACTCCTGACTCATGTTTGTAAATCTATATTATTACAACATTAAAAGTAATTTTCTTTCACAAAAGAAAAGATAATTTTCTTTTGTAAATTAATTGGACATTCCCAAAATATTAAACCAGCATATTCAAAACCAGAACCCTCGAAATGAATAAATTGACTGTCATTACCATTTTGTTATGCACTCATAGCAATATCGCTTCTGTTTGCAGTTGCCACAAATGACAACACCACTCCTATCGCTCCTCCAGCACTGGTGGCACATTAAACTCCACAGGCCCTTCTTCCTTCTGGAATCAACCTAAAAGTAGAAAAGAATGCCCAAAAAAGGGAAAAAGGATTGTACATGAGATTTTTTGAAAGATGCAATAAATTCTCAAATCACAAACAAACTTGGTTATAAAAACAGCAAAATCGGTGAAAGCAAGACTGTCTCTGAAAAGACTTGGTGATAATGGCATGGACAAAGAAGAGACTTGTGTCACCATAAAAAGTTAAATCCACTTGCTATTGCGCATATCAGATAACATGCACGTGGATGTAACCTAGCAAAACTTGTTCAGCACAAAAAATATTCAGAATTGGACCAGATATGAATAATTGGCATTAGTTTCATTATTCATCTTTTACATCAAGTTTCGATCAGAAGTATCAACTCCCACACCAAATAGCACAGTCAACCACAATGTACTTGTTGAAGACATTCCATTCCATTACACATAGTTCTACATGGATTTTGAATATGAAAGAACATTACATGGAATGGGCCCAGTAACCAGGGAATCAAGTGACAGTGCATGTAAGAATGTTGTGGAGAACTTTTAAATCAATACCTGTGAATTCTGAAATCCTATGGTATTGGTTTTATCAGTTTCCTGGAATCATTCTAAGGCAGAAGATATATCTCTAAAATATAAGTTTGAAACTTAAAGTTTTTTAGCTACAACCACGTGCGTTTATGGTATATAGCAATTACATAAAGTTTTGCATCAGGAATAGCAGTGTCTTTTTCGCTAGTGCAAATTAAACTATCAGCTTTTATGGATCTGTAAACACAAGTTGCATCCCATGGCATCAATATTTCTGCTAACTTATGCAGTCAGTCAGCTCCATGTATCTACAATCATGTTTATAAATGCGAACTCATGAAATGGTTCAGAAGCATGGCTTAGAGGGATACTCACGTTCAACCCTGAAGAGTCTAATCCACTGCTTGACAACTTTCTCAGCCTTCCACTACGCCTACTCTGAAAGCTGCTGCCTGAAGATTCTGCTTTATGGTTTGACAATTTTCTCAGCCTTCCGCTAGACCTTGTCTGGATGCTGCCAGATCCACATTCTAACCGTTTTGTTTTCATCTTTTTTCCTGGCTCTCTTGAGTATCTGACCACTCTACCTGAAAGAATCCTCTTCTTACTTTGTAAGGATCGGGCTCTCTTATTATTTGATCTCTCATTCCTCCTGGATTTGTGCTTCAGTCCAACTGATTCACTCTCATCTTCATCAGCAGCAATAGTTGGCACCTTTCCTCTTGAACCCTTCAATTGGTAGCGCTCAATGGACAGTTTCTTACTTTTTAAACTCTGTTTTCTATGCTTAACTTTTTGCCCATCAATATCATTTCTACAAGCTTCAGCAGATGTTCTTCCATCTATCTCAGCTACATTGTCATGCCTCTGAATCTTTGAATCAAGAGACCCGACAGTCTCCTTTTCTCTGTCTCTGAAGCTCTTTGGCCTGCCATACGTATTATTTGCCTTATCAATATTGTTTTCAGATCCATAATCACTAGATCTACCAATAGAAAATTCCTTATCTGCCTCAACTTCAGCAGTAATGATCTCATTCCCTGGTCTAGCCAAGCAAATGTTCACCATTTCCTCATTAGATCCTCCAGGAAATTTTCTAGTCAAATGCTCTTTTCTTTCAATATTACCCTTTGGTTGATCATGCTTTGTTTTAACATGGCTATTCTCGTTTAGAACCTCACCATCACTAGAGCCCTTTGAAGGCATATCCTTATTCCCATCGCTGACATGGGTAGTTCTTTGTGGTTGAACACTCATCTTTTGCTTTAGATCCTCTTCTCGACTTTTTCTATTATCAGCAGTTTGAACAAGTGAACCTATATGTTGCTCATCTGCAATATTGGCTAAATTATTTTCCAAACATGCAACACCGATAGTTTTATCACATGCCTTGTGGACAAACATAACTTCACCACACATTTCTTCATTTATCTGATCTCCCAATTTTTTCTTCTTGTTTCTTGAGTTCCATGGCTGACCATACTTCACTGTAGACTTCATTGGGTTTTCAATGTCGCCTGCACTTGCATTGCTAGCACAGGCAATACTCAGCTTTTTATTTTTTGAGCCTTTTGGTCTACCACACTTCTTGGGAATTTCAATGTCAATTGCACCATCATTACTAACAGATACACTCGCCCCCTTTTTATTTTTTGAACCCTTAGGTCGACCTCTTTTTTTCGGCGTTCCAGTGTCATCCACATCTGCATTACTAACACAGACAATACTCCGCTTTTTATTTTTCGCCCCCTTAGGTTGACCTCGCTTCTTGGGCGCTTCAATGTCACCAACACCAACATCACTTGCACCACTCCTCATCTTATTTTTTGAGCCCCTTGGTCTGCCACGCTTCTTTGGTGCTTTAGCGTCAACTGAATTTGCATTCCTATGCCACGAAATAATCTTCCATCCATTTCTAGATTCCTTAGGTCTACCACGCCTCTTTGGTATTTCAATGTCACCTGCGCCTACATCAATAGCACGCAAATTACTCTTCATTTTATTTTTTGAGCCCCTTGGTCTGCCACGCTTCTTTCCACTTTTCAAATTCTCTACTTGAGAATGATTCATTAGATAGCCTGCACCAACGTCACTAGCAATGATCTCGACAGGCAGCACATTCTTTTTCCCACATGTATCCGCACTTACATCTTCATTAACAGTTTGTTCATTCAATTTCATGGCTTCTCCCCAAGTAAGCCGTTTATTCTTATTCTTGGAACTCTTCGACTGACATCTTTTCAACCATTGGCCCAAGGTTTCACCTCCCTCCTCATCACTAGCAGCATTTAACAGCTCTCGTCCCTCTTCAACAACGAGAACTCTCTCTTCCTGTGATACTTTGGGCTGGCCACACTCGTCTTTTGACCCATGCTCCTTTAAACTATCATAATTTCCATCATCGTACACAGCAGGGAAGCCCACAGCGTCATTTTCACAAACATATGCTCCTCTCCTACTCACGCTCTCTTCTTGACCAGCGTCAGCGACACCACAGCCATTTCCAACAGTACGTTCTCTGCTCCATGGTTGATCAGCATCGTCCTGACGACTGAGAACGTCATCTTGATTCCCACCGTCACCGTACCCGGCTTGAAATTTTCCTCCATCGCGAAGAATTTGAGCCGCAAATCCGCCGGCCTGAACTTGTTCTCCCCCTGTCGGATACCCAATGTCCATACTTTCAACGTCAGGATTCATGCCCTCCCCTTGCCCCTCACGAAAAGGGCCCGCAGTTTCTTGAATGACGTTCAGACCATCGTTATCTTGAACTCCATCCCGGTCAGGACCCACAAGCCCATTTTCAGAATTTCCTTCAACTTTGGGTCGTTTCCACTCCCTTTCGTCCTGCGACAATCTAGTATCACCAGAAGAACTTTCCATGTCACGCTCGCTGTGGAGGTGGTGTTTCTTACTGGACAGTCTTTCGTCCATTACTCCTTCACTGCAGTTCCAGGCAGCGTCCAAAGTCTGGAACGATTCATGAGGCTCGTCCGTTACTCTCCCTTGAGAAACCCTGAGAGTAGGAAACGCTCATAGCTTTAAGCTGAGCAACAATGTCGAGGATGCCCAGGATAGTAATGGAATCGAGAGTTCGAAAAGTGTAACGTTTTCCCGGTTCACAGTCATGCCACTGTTGTTAATGGAGGATTAGAAGGTGAGAAGACACTACAGTTTGTTTCATCAATCAAAATATTAAAAAAAATCAATAAATAAAGCATATGTAATTGAAGAAATGACCAAAAAAAATAGTCAAAATTATTAAACCCATTTATCGTTTTAAAATTCAAGACAGCTATTAGCTATGTATGAAAATATATTAAAAAGAAGATGAGACACCAAGTAAATTGAGAAAATTATTTTTAAAAAAATCTCTCATCATATTATATATATAACATCTAAAAAAAGACGTAATGTAGTAATGTTTCTAAAATAAGAATAGTATGACTTACATGTGAAAACATACATAGCACGGCATAAATTTTGATCAAACTTGCTCATATAAATAACATATTTCATGTTTTTGTTCTACCGTATTCCCTCTAAATTTTATTTTTAAAATTATGCTGTATTAGAAAAACTACGACTTACAATTGGTGATGTGAAAATTGGCCTTGCCTAATCGGAGTCGGTAACATCTATTCAGTTGGTCATGAGTCATTTAAACATACATGTAATAATTCCAGAAAGGAGGGGAAAAAACAAGAGAAAAAGAAAAGGAGTGGGTCATTGTATTTAAGTTTTGGTGGGGTTGAATTGAAGGACTACTGGGGTATGGTCAGTCTTGGACGCAAGGGTAACATTCTTTGATCGATTCTTTATGAAGTGTATGATTTTAATTATAAGATATTTGAAGAATTGAGAAGAGCAGAGATGGAGGAGTTTTCTAATGTGTATAATCGATTTATCTTGAATCATCTTTCAATATGTACTACCACTTCTGCTCTTTAATATAAGAGTTAATGAACTAATGTGAGTAGATTAAGAAAACTAGTTAAATTAGTTATTTGCAATAAATAGGTACTGTTTTTCTTAAAATATCGTTGTTAATCAAGTGTATTGGTTAGAATTATTATTATTACAATGATTACCTTTAAAAAATATGAGAGACAAAATAAATTTAAATATTATATTTAGAATCAAAATAAAAATTAAATAAAAAAGGGAAAATGACAGATAAAGAAGCTCCAAAATGTGAAATGCCAATTTGGGAAGCTAAGGAAATGTAATTACCCATAGGGAAGTCCTTCCCAAATTGGGATTTTGGAAATTCAGTGAAATGACAAAAATGCCCTTTGTTCTTTTTTTTTTAAAAAAAAAACCCAGCCCCTCACCGGTGGCCGGCGACCACCGCCGGCGACTGGCCTCCGGCGGCCGCCGACCGCCTCCGGCCACCGGCGCCGGCCACCGGTGTGGTGGCTGCCGGTGAAGGATTTTTGTGACAAGATTTTTTTTTTTTGGGAATAGGATAATATTGGTTCAAAGTGGCGGGGGTGGGATTTGATCCCACAACCCCTTGACCACTTGGACCAACAAAAGGATGGCCATTGGGCCATCAAAGATTTCTTAACCTTATAATGCAAACAAAAATATAAGTTAACTCTTTTACTGTAACTCCAGCTCGTGACAACAATTTATCTGAGGATGACAAGTCTTAATTGAGAAATAACAAGTCTAAATTTGATATTCACAAAGCAACTTTTCCTTATACATAACATAGCAGCATGTGCATTAATTAAAAATGATCATAATTTATTTAAAAATGACACGTCTTTACTATAAAATGACAAGTCTAAAATTGATATTAACAAGGCAACTTTTCCTTATACATAACAAGAAATAGCATCTACGTTAATTAAAAATGACCATGATTTATTTGAAAAAACACGTCTTTACTGGAAAATGACAAGTCTAAATTTGATATTAACAAAGCAACTTTTCCTTATACATAACAAGAAATACCGAATAAATTGTTGTTATTTTTCAACAAAGACGTGTCATTTTTAAATATATTAGGAAAAGTTGCTTTGTTAATATCAAATTTAGACTTGTTATTTCTCAATTAAGACTTGTCATCCTCAGATAAATTGTTGTCACAAGCTGGAGTCACAGTAAAAGAGTTAACTTATATTTTTGTTTGCATTATAAGGTTAAGAAATCTTTGATGGCCCAATGGCCATCCTTTTGTTGGTCCAAGTGGCCAAGGGGTTGTGGGATCAAATCCCACCCCCGCCACTTTGAACCAATATTATCCTATTCCCAAAAAAAAAAAATCTTGTCACAAAAATCCTTCACCGGCAGCCACCACACCGGTGGCCGGAGGCGGTCGGCGGCCGCCGGAGGCCAGTCGCCGGCGGTGGTCACCGGTTGCCGGCCACCGGTGAGGGGCTGGGTTTTTTTTAAAAAAAAAAAAAGAACAAAGGGCATTTTTGTCATTTCACTGAATTTCCAAAATCCCAATTTGGGAAGGACTTCCCTATGGGTAATTACATTTCCTTAGCTTCCCAAATTGGCATTTCACATTTTGGAGCTTTTTTATCTGTCATTTTCCCAATAAAAAACCGTAGGTAGTATGATTTAATAAATTTATAATTATATATGGGTGCGATTGGGTTGTCATCCTTGTTCAAATCCCACCAGAGGGAAACGGGATTTGATTGGACATGCGAGCGCCTCACTGGAGCCTTAGCAGAAAGCAGTAGCACATGTCTTTCAAATTTCATGTGACCTGTCCACCACATAACAAGTGACAAGCGTCAAGCAAAACTATTGACTGAACGTAAGCGTTGTCAAGTTTGCATTATTTGGAATACAAATTAGAATCTAATCTGACAATAAAACCTGAAAACCAATTCTTCATGGAAATGCCCGGTAAAAGAGGAAGCCTGGAATCGTAGTCGCTCAAAAATACTCATGTGGGAGATGCCATATGCTCGACTCACTTGGGAATGAAAGATACTACCTCCGCTACTAATTATAAGAGCTAATTAACTAATTCGAAAGGATTAAAGAAATAAATTAAATTAGTTATTTATAATAAATAAGTGTTGTCTTTCCTAAAATATTCTTGTTAATCAAGTTTATTGGCTCAAACTATTGTTATTAGAAGGATTACCTTAAAAAAATACACAAATATCGGAGACAAAATGGATTGGGATCTTATAATTATGACCAAAATAAAAAGTAAACAAGGTCTTATATTAAGGATTAAAGGTAGTATATACATTTACTTCATTTATTTTTGAGATGTTGGAAAAATTGTACCCAGTCCATTTTCTAATCACCAGATACATCCAGACTTAAATTCAATATCTCCGCACATGCATTTTAACTTTTTTTAAAAAAAAATTTGAGGTTCATTGCCAAAAAAAAAAAAACCACTCGACCTGTTTTGTATTGGCCCCAAAAAAAATCCCAATAAACGCGTTTTATAGGTAAATAATTGTTCACACCGCGTCATCACGAGGGTTCCATGGTCTAGTGGTCAGGACATTGGACTCTGAATCCAGTAACCCGAGTTCAAATCTCGGTGGAACCTTTACATACGTTGATTTTTTCCCCCCCTTTTTGTGAGCGGCGTACTTGAGTGACCTGTCACAATTTCGCACGCACAAGCATTCCCATTGCTAAATGCCAAGGACATGATAACCACGGTACAAACGATGCCATTCTGATCCGACGTGAACCTTTTTCAATTTCTTTGGAAAACAATACTCGAAACTTTTTAATTCCATAGAATCCGGGACACATGCATTCCGCGCCGACAAAAAACTAGGCAAGAATCAACTAAGCCAGGCACGATGCTCAGTTTAAGATTAAGGGGCTCAAGCAATAGAGACAAAAGGGAAAGGAGAGAGAATAGCCACGGCACACAATCCTCATATATGAAGAGTTGCGTCTGTGATTCAGAACCATTTCCATAGCTTGTTTGGCGTCTCCCTACACACAACCATCCTGAAAAGATATTCTTAGCAATCTCAACGCTAATTCTGAAGGCTAAAGATTCCACTAACATGGAGCCCCCCCCCCCCCCCCCAAAAAAAAAAAGAACACATACTATCATGGAGTCGTTGAACCGTGTATTTTCATAGCAGAATCCCCGAAAATGGGTTTAAAAAACCAGCAGCCCAGCGAAGTCTTTCACTAGTGGACTCTTGCCCAAGTAACCAAAAGATCGGTCTACAGAAATGTTATTCCCAAATTGGTACAGGCACAGCATCGCGATATAGCACTATCAAATCCATACATTAAAGGCCAGCACGCCAAAAATTTAGGGTTTGGTCTAAGCACAAAATCAGGATGAACTAAGCACAAAGCAATATTGCACAAAAATATATTATTTGCCTTTGTCTTCTTCCTTCATCTTCTTCTCCCACCTGCGCTTCTTGTAATCCCGCAACATATCTGGCATCTTCTCCATCAATCTTGCAGTGTTTTCCCTTTTTTCAGCAGCTATCCTGTCGCATTTATGTCCCTTCCTTCTAGTTTTCATCTCCTTCCTTTCTGGATCATATGGCCAATCTTCACCAGCAAGAAGCACTTCCTTGCGAAGCCTAGCTCTACGCCGAGCACTAATACCAAGTGGCTTCCAAGCTCCCAGCTCCCAATACCCCCAAACACCTTTGGCAAGTTCATCCTTATATTTTGCCAACTTCTCACGCCATGGATACTGATATCCTCCTACAGCCTTCGCCACTGAACTAGCAGCTTTGCCTGCCATAACTTTTCTCTTCTTTCTTCTCCTTTCTGGCTAAACTACCATATACTTGCTTCTCTGCCAGGCAACACACAAGAGATGAAAAAAAAAATTATTAGCAAGTAGACAATAGGCCCTAAGCTATTAGACTAGGTTTATCCAATTGATTTTGACTGTCTGGCCGTTGTCTGTAACCATATTAATCACATTACACACAACAAATCTGAATAGTTGAATATATCTTCACATATTTGCTTCGAATAAGAATAAGCCAAAACACAAATTAAAATAAGGATCAAATTCTAGTCGAAGGGATTGTGGGAAAAATGAAGGGCAGCATGACTGCAGCTTGATGTGGTTGGATGGCGTAAAGCTATACAATATGGTTTTAAGACGCACAAGAACCCAATGAAGGACTAAAAAGCCATGTTTAGCAGTAATAGATCTTTTCTTTACAAACACACCAAGGGGCAAAAAAAAAAAAAGATACTCGGATTACTATTTTTCAATCTCGTTTCTGGAAAAATGAAAACCCCCGGATTTAATAGAAGCATTCAACTGAGAAGATCAAGGATACTTATCATTCAGTAATTTTTTTCCCCATCAAGAAGCATAATTTCCACATAACAAGCTGAACAACCATAGGGGATCCCTCATATTTAACATATTGATTAAAAACAACACATGTGGGAAAAATGAACAAGAAATAAAGAGAATAACTATATATGTATTTTTTTTGCCAAGAGAATAACTATAATTGAAGAAAGAAAAAGAAAAAGCAAAAATAACCAGAGACCTAAAATGAACCAAAAAAAGAAAAGGAAAAAGCTTATATCTAATCAGTAAAGCAGATAAAATAAAACCAACATAACTTGGCCTTCATCATGGTCTCAGTCACTAAATCACATTCAGCTTTCAAAGAGTAAAGCAAGCTGTTACATTATGCAATTCTACTTTACAACAGAAAATGATCACCAGGTTTAATGTGCAAGTATGTCATCAATCAGGCTAATAAAAATCCATTTTGAGCATTATCGAACACATCACACTGGATAAAAATCGGAAAGAATCTTGCGGTTCATAGCAGGTAACCATAACGAAAAGCACAGTAGTCCAAAATAGGTCACTTTTCCGGGGGGAAAATTGAAAAATCCATTTCAAAAGAGCAAGTTCCACCACAGAAGTTTTGTTTTCAAAGAATCGCAAGCAGAGGAGATAAGATTTAGCAGTATACCAGAAACGATTGCGCTGTTCGTCTCCAATCAGCGGGAGTAAAGAGCTAGCGGAACATCGAATGAAAAGAACTTTCGCAACTCGCAGGGAGAGCCTTGAGTTATGGACGGGCAAACAGATACTGGGCTAGCATTCTAGCCCATGTGTTTTCATGTTTGACTTACTTTTCTGGGCCATATGTTATTTGATTAAAGCATTCATTTAGTCTTTTAATTTTATATAAGGTTTTAATTAGGGGTGTTCAAGGCCGGCCTGTCCCGGTCCCGGTCTTATTGGGACAGGACAGATTCGTCTCGAAATTTTTCGCGACGGGACAAAAAAGGGACCGGAACCGGGACGGGACGGGACACGGGACGGGGTCGTCCCGTCCCAGTTCCTTTTTTTTTTTAATTTTTTATATAATATCATTTTTTTTCATATTTTTTTTAAGATTTGAGACTATTGTATGGAACTAGAGATATATTTATTTAGAGTTTTTATATTTGTTAATGATTTGAGATTGTTGATGATTAGAATTTTTAGCAAGTTTTTATTGTGTTAAAAGCTTTTGTTTAGAGTTTTAATGACTATTATATGTAATATTTTGAGCTTTTGTTTAAGAGTGCCCAAACAAATAAAACAGATGTTTTTATAAGATTTAAACTCAAAACAATATAATTAAAAAAATTTAAAAAAATTAAAAAAATAATTTCGGGACGTCCTGGTTCCGTCCTGTCCCGTCCCGACCGGGACCGGGATGGGCCGAGACACGGGACAGATTTTCTGTCCTGTTACTGTTCATCGGGACGGAACCGGGACAGGCCTGTTCCGGTCCCGATCCGTCCCGTGAACACCCCTAGTTTTAATTTAGTTTCTTAATTATAAAAAGTATACTTTTAGTTTTTTAACTCTAAAATTGTTAGTTTTAAAAAAATAATGTTTGGTAACAATTATGATTGTTTTGAAAATTAAACTTAATATTATAGTATTTAGTAATATTTTATCAGCGTTCAAGAAATCAATATCATTATTTTTTTATTAACAATTTTAGAGTTAGAAAACTAAAAACTTACTTTTTAAAGTTAAAAGATTAAAATAAAACTTTATATAAAGTTGAAGGACTAAAGTTATACTTGAGTGTATGTTCTTTTAATTTTCACCGAAAAAACAATTAAGTCAACAGCAGAATCGATAGAATATCTTGTGCGTGTGTAATTTATTGTATAGAATATCTCCCTTTTCCAACACAAATTTTCTGCATAGGCATCAGGATTAAATCAAAGGCAAATTTGGTTAAAAATACCTGTTTGAAAATTTAGTTGACTAGTGAGTACAGATATAATTCATGACTACAACTTTTCTTTCATTGTATGTAACATTATTAATATTGTGCAGCACACAACAAAAGATATGTTACATAGAAAAAAAAAATTATACTTACAAATCATAATTACACCTCTCAAATTTAAGTCTTTTTAACCAATTAAATTTTTAAACAAGAATTTTTTTACCAAATTTCCTAAATCGGTGTTTGGTGATGATTTATTGTTGGACGAACACACAGTTTCGCATTGAACCTATTCACAGCAACCTGTCACGAATCCTGATGGCCACTGCATCACCAGGATTTGTCCCAGAAAATTTTTGCATCCAGATTTCTTTTTAGAATTAGCTTTGATTTTTTTTAAAAAAAAATTGAACCAAATATGAAATATCATATAATTTTGTAGAATTAGCTTAATTTTAGTAGGTAGTCACTAAAAAAGGTTTATTTTTATTAAAAGCAAAAGTTATATCATACAAAATTATTTCATAACAACCACAAAGAAAAAGCTAGGTAACAGAGATTTACACTATTCACAACCTCCTCTCAGTACAGAGGAGGAGACAATGCTAAATGGATAAAGGAATGTTTCTACTAGCTGATATGCTTGCTGCTTACCCAAAGCTGAACCAGAGGCCAATGAATGGCTAATCCAGTTCTGTTTCTTCAACAGAACACTCTAACTAAGAAAGGTCTCTGACTCAAACAAGGGATGCACCCTTTGCTATCCGACGTTTATCTTCCAAATTTAAAATTTAAGACTGTCTTTCTTCCAGAGCTAGATTACAACATGGAACCGACCTATAAGCTAAATGATTAAACCAAGCTGCTACAGGCTCCCATTCTTCATTGCCTGATGGCAGGCTCAGTTTTCATCATTTAGGCATCAATCTGTCAGGAGCGCTCTGAACCTGGAAGCCAATTAGATTAAAAATTATTTAGGAAAGTCAAAATAACCTGTATAATTGAATAACAGATTTTAAAGTCCACTAGAAAATTCCCATCTTTTGACAGACTCCAGTGAATCAACTATTAGGGTTGCTAGGAGATGATTTACTGTAAACATGAGGTGCTCTAGACTTACTACCTACTATTCAGTTTCCACATGATATTGGGTTTGTTCATTAAAGCAATGGAAATGCACTCGTTCACTAATTATTCAGTTTCCATATTAGATTTCTTTCAGCCAAAGATTTTGGATGTGTTTGCCCAGCTTGGTTACAATAAGGGGAAAAATATCTTTTGCACAAAAGATAGGCAGTAATTATTACACGTCTGTTATCACCTCTTTAAAGTATATGTATATATGTATGTATGTATTATTTTGCAGGAAGCCGTACAAGGCGTTCAGAAATCTAGTTATCACTTATCAACATAAAATATAAAATCTATAGGGAGTCAAACTATTCATCAACCATAAATAAATAGCAAGGCTACTTTTGGGCTCCATGCAACCTTTTTCCCCTTATTCTTTCAATTTTTCTCCACACATTTCATTGGACCTCGTCCAACATCATTATTATTCTTTAAATATTTCTCTACATGATTAAACAAGATTAGCATGTTCGAGAGATATACTTTTAAGTTATTGAAAAAGACATCTAGTTCTACAATAAATAACCTCTTCTATTACATCTTTTATCCAATGGCGTAAGGCATAGTTTCTCATTCACAAATTATTTTTCTCTTTTTCATCTGCCTTTCCATTCCATCCAAGTACTAGAAACTAATTTGATCTTAAAAACCTATTGCACATTCACAACTGCAATAAATTGAAACAACGGAGAATGAATGAGTAAAATGTTACGTTGCACAGTTTACCTACATTGAAAGCTATGCAAATCAGACTGGTGTTCTAATTTCTAGACAAAAATATTTTCATAAGCAGCCAACCATTGATATTAAGATGTACTGTAGGCCGATCACCTGAGTTGCATATGACGAGCTTTCTGCCAAAAACTTGAGAAATTCATTCTTCTTTTTATTGAAATTGATCTTTGCGATGTCCAACAAAGTTTGCTCCCTTCTAATATCCTCAAGAATCATTTCCTTCCTCCTTTTCTTATTATTCAGCTGCCTCTCAGTTTCCATGTAGCTATCAGGTATTAATTTTCTTGGTCTGGGGAATCTCACACCCACATCCTCCCTGATAGAAAATAACCAAAAACCAACATATATATATATATATATATATAATTAAAAGAAGGAAAAGACCCGAAAAGGAATTCAAAAAATTATGACAATTAAGAACAGGTAAATGGTTTCCATTCATCAACAGAATCTTCATAGATTTGCTCATTCAATCATTTCATTCTTCCAGAAACAAAATAAACATACAATACTAATGTCCCTAAAACCAAGCTTATTCCCCCAGCAAAAACAAAAAGCAAGTTTTTAACTGGTTGTAGGAACACAAAACGGTTAACCAATAATGATAGGAAATAGAATTAAAGGATATGAGACCTCAAATTATCAAGTTCCAACGATTATCATTGATGGGCTATCTTGAATGATAATATCTACAGACTTGTATGTCTGAATTTCATTACAAACTCTAACAAAAGATTGAGATATATTGCTGGTAGCATTAGACAGAATTCCTTGTGATCAATCGTTAACCTGATCGAGCCAAAGATTAAGTCACTGAAGACAAGATTTCCACTGGAAGAAATTTGAAGACAGATTATCTGCTTTCCGAGAATGATAGGTACTATAATAGAAAAGTGATATTCAATACTCCAGGAGGATGCATTTAACATTCAAGGATTGTGTACAACACATAAATACACAAAAAAGAAGGCGACTACAAGAAGAAGCCTTATCTTACTTAATGAGGTCAGCTATACAATAAAAAAAGAGTATAAAAAAAATTTAAAGAACAAAAAAAGGGAAAATTCTGTTAATCAACCTCGGATGATGGATATTCAAATTTTCACCCGGCTTTACTTAGGCATTTGGCTCACGTTTTTTGAGGTGCTAAAATTACAGACATAAAGTGAAAACGCAATTATCTTTTCTCTATTTCTATCCTTTTTGCAAGATATCTTTTCTACCTACATAAAATTATCTCTCTCTCTCTATAATAGCATTCAATTTTCAGAAAATGGAGATCAGTAACCTTACTAAGACAACTATACCCATTCCTAAGATAGAAAATTATGAAGTTTTGACCTGTCTCATAATTTGAAAATGATAATACAGAAGGAATGAAACATAATGTATAACCACATTGATTTGACAGGAATCCCCTTACCCGTTGCCCAAGAAATATACACCAGTACTTCTAATGATTCCTCCATCTAAAGAAAGAGCTCCATCGCTTATGCAAGGAAGAGCTTGCAGCATTTCTGCTCTTGTCTTGTATATTTGGAGACGGGAAAAGAGATTATAAAATAAAGTCTCTCTGAGGCCATACCCATTAGGAGTCACACAAAATAAATTTGAGCCGTCCACGTTAATCATGTTCACTGCAAAGCCAAGAAATCCATCTGGACACTCCCCATTGGGTAATCTTGGGCTTAAAATGTCCAACTTCCTCTGTGGATCATCAAGCACAAATTTACCAGCATAAGGCCTACAGGAAGGATAGGGGGAACAAAATCAAAACACATAGCTTTTGCAAGAGTAATATATCCTATATTTACAAGAAGAATACAACGCTGATGCAATCATACCTTAGAGATTCAAGACATATAACTGAAAATCGATCAGCCAAGGACCTTCCGAGAGAGGCACCTAGCCCATGAACACCAGAACTCTTGTTTATGTTGCCTTCATCATCATATATTTCAAGAGCCCTCACCCCTTCATAAGTCTTACAGACGACTGCCAGCATAGTTTCAACTCCTAGATACTCAGAAAGAAGCCTGCATTTCAAATAAGTTCAGTTAAACACATTAATGCATGTTATTTTTATGTATACTCAGGTATTTGAGAAATTAGCAATACAGCAAAATACGCAATGTTTCACAGTGGTCAAATATGAAGCCAATGAACCCAAAGGAAGGAGAAGTGATTTTCTTATAAAAATATATCTCAGAATGGAAACGAAACATACCTGCTAAGATTATCATCATCAACTTTGCCCAGTGTAGCAACAACGCCCACAACATCCTTCAGCAGCATAAGATGAGAAGCCTGAGTTCCTTGATGACGTTTGAGCTGGCAGAAAATACCAGCAGCAGATTCTTTGTGCTGCAGTATCTGTTCAGATATCTCCTCCTCGTTCCCCGGGGGGCATCTATCCCCATCATCAATCTTGGGTGTACTTATAGGACATAGATTCCCAACCATTACTATGAATGGGAATACAAAAAATCCAAATAAAACTTTCTCTTTGTTGATACAAAATAAGTATGGAAAAGGGAATGAAGAGCGTACACAATGGAAAGAAATAAAGTTTAACACTTTGGAAGGTTATGCCATCCTTCTTGATGGTAAATCTACTCTTTAACATATGCTCTTCAATTCAATGTATACACTCCACAAGCATTATTATCAACAATGAGCCATGCCCATCATCACAAAAACCTTGTTTTCTTTAACTAATTGGTAAATCTAGTTCCACAAATAGGGTTCTCTCAGTGGCAACAACAATACAGCCAATATTTTACTCAGTTGTTATTTAAAATATGATCATCAACTAGCAACCGACAGTTTGAAGCTTGCAATGATTACATCATGCACCTTACAGAACAGGGTCACATTTATGCCCATGATTAGGAATCCGTTTGCCAGCCAAAGATAGAAAAATGCCTTAAAATGTACGAATAAATTTACTTTGCAAATCTCATTTACGAAAGTTTACCTTGCAAATCAAGAATAGAATCATCGACTTTGTTTTTCTCTTCCTTCAGACAATTTAGGCTGTCCTCGCGCTGCTTGATTTTGATCCCCAACATTTGCAGATCACCTTGAAGTTTCTACAGGTATTTTGTAATTTTGAGGTAAGTTTGTGATATGTATCACCACTAAATCCATATCAGGAAACATAATTAAAGGATATATCTAGGATCAGGATTCCGTGAAATTCCACAGAGCATATCTCAAGACATCCCAATCATTCATTTCCATGATTGAATCTATGGCTTTCAATTTTCATCATACAGCAGAGGGAAAGAGAAGGACTGAAGGTGATAGAGTCCATAAGAAACAGCACAATTCAATTGAAATATTCATGTGACTTTATTTAAAAGAAGATATTCAACCAATGGCAATGACAGCTGACGTGGTGAGAAATGTGCAGGGTCAATTTGACAATTTCTGATGGAACTTCAAAAAATTCCTTTTCTATTGGAAACTGCAACAACACAAAATGACAAGACAACATCAGAAATCCTAACCTGAGAATGTTGGATAATGGCCTCTGCTTGTGAAAAACCTCCATTTGGCACATCATTTTTCACATCTATAGAGGTTTCATTCAAGTCCACTGTCACCAATGCTGAGGAATTCTGGACGGCCATAGGCTGCACAAGTAGATGTTATTTGCATATATAAATTCAGATAGTGCTTCCAATTGGGAAAATTTTCTGTTTGAACTGAAAAACAGCCTAACTGCCAAAATCCCAAGCATAAGCTAAATATTTTGATAAAGTGATGCCATAAAGGACTAGATAACATGTGATAGACACATTCTTACTTTACTTTATTTAATGTGCCGAAGCATAGAGCAACGGAAGCAATGTTCCCCTAAATAACTGGCACCAATGAACTTCAGAAACTTGTAAGAAAACTATCCTAGTATGTCATCCAAGAAAAGAAGGCACTGTTGATTATGACAAACCAAATTGAGTTTCAAAGTAAAAGGTAAAATGCAAATCAATTTACTGTCAACTGCGTAGGCTTTAGTAATATTCCCTCCGGTTCAAAATATAAGTTAAACTTTATCCATATACACTTATCAAAGAACTAGTTAAAATCAGTTTAAAAAAATAAATATGTAAGGCATGTATTTTTTTCCCCCCAAATGTACCCTTATTAATGAAGAAAATAAGTAAAGATACAATAAATGAATTAAAGAGGAAAGAGAATATGTGGGGATAAAATTAGAAAAAACTCATTAAATACTTAGACAAAGTGAATGTTATCTTATTAAAAAAACAGGCCCCTCCAACATAGTTTAGCTTATATTTTGAAATGGAGGAAGTATTATTATTTATTGTGCATGCGTGTAGGGGCGGATATTCAATAGTTCATGAATATAATTTACCCTTTTGGACAGAGTTTTCTGTGATTATATGCTGATGCGTAAAGATAATAATGATGTCCAACATGTTACAACAATTAGATACGATGAACATAATGAAATGGAACCTCAAAATCAAGTACTTTGAAATGTTTAGCTTATTCAGTTCTGTCGCCGTATAGGTTTTGGGTTCCACTGTTCTAACGAACAACTGACACTACAGTGCATTAACGATGAAATGGGGGATTATCACGGTGGAGAACATGAAGATCACAAAACCTAGTGAAATTTGATAACAGCATTGTATAACTTTCAAGTCCTGCAGTTCAACTAATGACCGATACCACAATGCATTACTGACAAAACAATCATGTAACCACCACCCAAGGAATATACAAATGCAACAGATAGATTTGGACTTTGAAAAGACAGTACATGCGGTTGAGCGATTCACTGTTTTCCCATCCGGTCTACCTAGGAAAAGGTTTCTGTAACTCGCATTTATCTGATGAAAGATCCCCAAATCGTACTGCCGACAAAACCAGGTGTGTTCAATTATGCAATTAAAACTTCTATCACAGAATTTTCTCAATAGCATCTCCCAGACCACTCCAGTGCGTTTTGTTATGGCGCGCCAATAATAGCCCCGAAATTGGGCAGTAAAACAATAGAAAAATGAATCGCCGTTGCTGAAAAAAAAAAAAAATAGTTTCTTTGATGATTTTACAAGCCTTCCAAACGATAAAAATGGCCAAGAAAACACGACTTCTCTTGGCGTAGCCCCACAAAGTCAATAAAAAAAAAAACAGAGAAAACTACAAGAATCACTCAGTAGAGGATATAATTGACATCTGATGCACTGATTGAAGCCATTGAGGGTTTGATAATATCTGAAGAGAAGAACAGGCATGCATTGCAAGCCCAAACATTCGTCTAGTTTGTGAGCACTTCAAGGGGAAGAAAGAAGTGAACAGTAATCATCGAAGACCAAGATAGAATTCGAGGCTAAAATAGAGTGATGGCAGACAAACAATAGATGGAAAGGAAATTGGGAAATGGTGAAGAGAGAAAGAGAAAAATGCACCTTGGGGGACGGTTGATACATGACTGATGACTCGAATTCGCAGACTGGGTGTACTCGTTCCTTGAGATACGCAGCTCTCAGCTCTCAGGTATGAAGGTCCGGCAGTATGCTCAACGACGCAAAGCATCTCAGCACATCATAAATGGATTAATTTCTTTTTTTTTACCATCATAAATTCAATGAATAAATACCAGTATTCAATATAAGATATTGAAATTGTAACAAATTGTATTATTTACAATTTATTAGAACATTTTTTGGCCTGAATTTATTAGAACATTGTATGTTAGTAAATACATAGGAATTCTTAAAATATTTACATTATTGAAAGATGTCAACTTTTGCATGAATTCCATCTGTCAGTGGACTCATGTTTTGAGGTGAAAAATGCCATCTGTCGATTTAACAGCGATGATTATTGTAAACTCTTTTTTGCTGGTGAAACTTGATTATTACTACGTTCTGTCTTGTAAGATTGAAATAATTAAATATATCAATTAAAAAGTGGGTTAAAATATTAAATGTGTAAGAAATATATTTATTTCTTTAATACTCTTATGATCCTATTTATAAGTCACTTTTAACATGTTTCACTATGATTAAGAAAAACTTTCAATTTTATTAACTCTCATTTGAAATTTAACAACTTTCTAACTTTATCTCTATTTAATATACATTGTACCTCATGTAGTCAACATAATAAGAAATAAAGGGTAAAATTGTACATACATATAAAAAATTTCTCTCAATATCCTCTCAATAAGACTAAAAAATATTTTTTCCCCTCTACTCTATAAATACGAATAGAGGACTATATCTTTATATATAAAGAGAAGAGTGAGGAAAAGAGAATAAGAGAGAAAAGAATGTGAAAGAAATTTTGTGAAAAAAATGTGAGAATTTAGCGATAGAAAGAGAACAATTACAAGGATCTGCCCTTATGCGATAGTTAAGTCATTTAACATGTTTCAAACTGATAAAAATTAATTTTAGATCAAAATATTCTTCTATAAGATTTCTTACATTATGGACCAGTAGGAGTACATAGACATGTAATCAAAGTAGTTATTAAAAAAACAAAAGAATTAAATTTGTATACATGTACAAAATATAATTTATAAACAAACCAATCCTATCTCAATTAGTTCTAAATGTAAGACCCAAAAGAGTCTTATATTAGTACTTGAGTAATATACATAGCCGGGGGGAGAGGGGACTTTTTTGAGGATGAAAACAACCTCTTCAAGATGACGAAACTACCATGAACATGAATTCTTCTTGCTGCTGCTGTTTATTCATATTCAAGGTGACAGCATCATCAACACGCACGAGTGAAATTTGCAGAAAAGAACTGCACCTAGCTCGCTATGAGAATTACTTTTCTTCCAACTATCAGTGTTATCTACCGGCCCGGCATTCCTGGGAACTCATCCAAAGGAAGATTTTTTTTTTTCAACAAATATGCAAGTGTAGCAGATGGCCTAGAAAGTGCACATGTCAAGTGTAGATCGCCAGGTGTAAAACAAATGCGCAAAGGACTAAATATTTTGTCTCCGATATGCTCCAGTATAGTCTGCAAATTTGATAGCTTCTGAACTACAGCATTGACCCCACAAGAAAAAAACTATTACATAAATAAACGCACGGTATATACATATAATTGTTCTGAACTTCTAATCATGCAAAAACTGTACAATGCATATTCACAGAGCTTTTTCCCCCCTCCTTTTTTGGCCATTCATATTCACACAGCTTGTTCATGTATATTTGAGTTGTCCGTTGTACTGGGTTTATATTCCAACAATTGGTTTTCAATCACAGGCCCCGATTCATCCAGAATCCTCGCATACCGATTGTATCTTCTATGAAACTTCTTCAGACACTTCTCGCGCAATTTAATCACTTTTCTTATATCATCCTCAATGTCCATCAACTTTTCCTTCAATTCCCCAATCTCGGATATCATATCTCCAGTATCTGGGGTGACAAGCACCGGACTCTCAAGAGGAAAGCATATTGAAGGATTTCTGCAGGAAAGAACAAGTAAACTGTGTTATATTTCACTATCAAAATCCTTGTCATAAACAAACATCCGCATAAATGAATTCGGATGACATTTTGAATCAGATTTAAACCATCATTTTAACGACAAATGTATCAATGTCAAATCTGAACACTTGTTCATCGCCGCAAGTCAAAAAGGCATTTTCCATTTTTACTCATACCTCAACAACACATCACCTACTAATGCAGAGAGTATTGAACAGTGATAAACGACAGGAAAATATCTGCACGACAGACACCTATGGACATAATGACAAATAGATTCGGAATCTGGGCATGAAGAAGCGATAAGTTGCATTTAGTGCCTCATCAAATTAGAATGGGGAATTAAGAGATTGGACAAGTTGATGGGAGGACAACTTCAACATCAAGTGATTCTGTCACGTCCAAGTTTATGAAATCATTTAGTTTTCCTCCCTCCAAAAATTAAAAAAAAAAAAAAAAAAACAAGAGCACAAATACTAAAAGTAGTGCTCCGAACACAAGATACATGGCATGAAATGCAAGACAGCAAGAAACATACTATCCATACAAATAACACTCGGGGAGATACATACCCATAACCAAGAGAGATTAGTCCACTTTCTTTTATAATGCCGCCATCTAAGGAAACAGCTCCATCCTCTAGACAGGCTCGAGCAGCCATCATGTACTCCCTTGTTTCATAAACTTGGAGCTTCCTGAATAGACTAAAAAGCACAGTCTCCCGGAGCCCATGCCCTGCAGCAGTCCTTATTTGCAAGTAATGATCATCCAGCTCAATCATATTAACGGCATAACCCAAAAAACCTGCTGGCACGCATCCATTTGGCAAGGTAGGATCTGGCAAGGTCAGCTTCCTCTGAGGGTCATGCCCTTGGCAACACCCATTGTATGGCCTGTCAAACACACGTGCATGAGCGTAACATTTCATTTTAAAATGCAAAAAACAACACAGAAATTTGGCCCCATTCCGCACTTTCATTGAAAAAGATAATCATATAACAAATGGAAAAATGCCAAGCTCACATTACCTTATATCTTCAAGGCCCAAAACAAGGAAACGCGTACATATGACTTTTCCAAGCGCGGCTGCTTCAGCATGTAAAGCAAGGGTATGATCAACTTCTCCGCTTTGTGTATATCTCTCAAGAGCACTTGCAGCATTAAAGGTTCTACAAACAACAGCCAGCATTTTATCTTCTCCAAGATACTCTGCTAGTACTCTGCAGATGAGTTAGCTAGCACATGGTCAGAAGTAGAAAGAAATAAATTCCCCCCATAGCAGTAATGAGAGAAATAATAAAGGCAAAGGAACACGACCTGCTAAGCTCAGGGCTCTGAACAGTACCAAGAAGTGCAACCAGGTTTATTATATCGTCCATGATACAGTTCTGTGGCATTTGATTAGGCAAGAAACCGCAGATAACAGCAGCTGCTGAGTTTTCCACGTATTTTATTCTTTCCTTCAGTTCATCTTTGGTGAATAGACCATTTATATTTCTCAATTGATGACGACCACCCCCTTCTGTGTCATTAAGAGTAAGCACAAACCATCGACCATGTCATTTATCTATTTTTCAACTTCTTAGTTCAATGAGTCATTAACAGAACCAGGCATATTGCGTGCAGAAACGCATAAGAGCACTGATGCAACGATTGAGACAGAAAAGTCCCAAAACGCAAAAGGACTACTTAGTAAAGCTATTACAGGCACTATCTATATTATATTGACTTTTAATTGCCAAAACGCCCTAAATATGAATTGCTTTAACAAAAAATGACAAAAAATTAATGATGACACTAGAATATGATATATTACCTTATATATGATTACTCAAGAACTTTCTGCACATTTTTTTGGAACTGTCAAGTATAATTTGTTTGTGTTTAGTTATATATAGATAGGTGCGGGGAGAGGGGGAGAGGGGGGGAGAACCTTGTAACTTCAACACCTCTTGCTCAGTTTTAGCCTTGAGATTATTAAGATCAAGAAGGAACGTTTCAATTTGTCCAATTTCTTGACCAATCTTGAGGATGTCTTGAAGTTCCTGCAAAATAGATGCACCTTAATACCAACTACAGCTGTGACATAAGATAGGATTTAATGCAATCAATATTCCCATATCTTGCCATATAGTATTGTCAAAACTCAAAAAGTAAAGCATGTTAACTGCTCGTTAAAGTAGATCAAGTAAAGTCATGAGCAATTACTGCATCAGATAATGGTAACAAAGGTATTTAATTTCATTAAACAAGTTAATCTTATAAGCTTTCATGCATGATGAAACACAGACCAGCAGCTCCCTTTTCATGCAGAACGTCCACATATAATGGTAAAAACATAGCTGAGAATATTTGTCGTACCTCATCCTCATTTACAAAGGAGATCGTTGACTTCTTGTCTTGATTAAATGATAAAGACAAGTCCTGCAGTTGCATCATACTATTATCGAGACATGCAAATTGGCTGCCATCATACTCTGCTTTTGGAGCATTTGCAACACGGATCTGCATCCAAATCCAACCAATTATAGAATAGCATTTGGTCAAAATTTAGAGGAGAGATTATTTTTCCAACCTCAACAGTTATACTTAGATCCGGATACTGAGAATGAGCGGCTGAAAAGCAAAAAATCCCTCCATTTAGTGGAATGGGTATCGCACGGACAGTGCAGCACCCATGCTCGAAAGCGTATTGGAAAAATTGCCGTGCTTGAGAAGACACTGACTTGATAATGAGCATATGAGATTGGCCATCCTTATCATCGTGATGAATATTCATATCTACATCTCCATCAGGATCAACCACTTCAAAAACAAGGTTTTCCAATTGACTGCCCGCGATACAGATATCAGGCAACTGAAAAGCATGCATACAAAGTCGTTCTTAAATGACAAAAAAAAAAGCTCACATTAAAAACGACTAGAATCTTATTTTTTCAGGGGGAGAAAAACGACTAGAAGTAAGAGCATATAAATCGTCAATATGTGTAACATTTTCAAGACCAACCTTCGATGTAATTCTCAATTTCCTTCTCACTGTTGAAAATTCCTGCTCAAAAACTATTTTGTCCTCGAACAGAACAGATAGGGATGCTGCAGAATGTAGAACGCAAATGAGACTAGAAGTAGCAAAATACAGCCGCACCAATAATTGAACAGCCATGAATATCTCTCTTTCGATGAGAAACAGCCATGACATATATTCCCATAACCCTTGTAAAGAAACTAGGGCAAAGATGCCGCTAACAATAGTGCATTCGGATTTTTCAGGATGCAGGCCAAGAATTACGGAAGAAATGTTGACCCTGACCTAATGTTGAAACTAGATATTAATTGAACAGATGATTTGCAGCAAATTTATGATTTCCATACCATTTTCTCCAAAACCTGCAGTCAACTTCAGTAGACCGCTAAGGTCAATTTTTCCACGAGCATCAACCTGCATGTCAAAGGAACATACAAAAAATTCCGGTTAGCAATTATCCATACAATTGCATCTCTACTGCGTCTCATCTGCTTTAGGCCAGGAACACTTCAATACTATACACCAAGGTTCGTGTGCTTTTTTTTTAGTTAAAAGAGTCTATCAAACCAAATAAAAGCCAGTTTTCGTACATCCCCAGAAAAGAACTCACTCTTCACAAATCACGATTATAAATACAACAAAGATTGCCAGGGTAACGTGACCTTTCGTATCATGCCCACGTGATCTTCAATGACGAAATTTGACAAAGACAAAGTAACCTCCGAACCGATAGACACGTGGTTTCCATATGCATCAAACATCTGAAAGGTCAACATTAACAAAAAGACTTAGCAAGAAGATTCAATAGACAATTACTTCCAATATATTGAAAGTAGAAACTCAGCATAAACTAAAGAATGATAGATATACGGGTAAAATATCTATCTCCTAATTAAAGGAAGCAATTTGTAAGCATTCATGGATGGGGGCTCACTTGAGCGGGCTACGACTTTCTGGAGTTATCCTGGGCAAAAATATTCTTTGTACCTCTTCATTGCATTTATTCTTAAAAGGAAGAGCAGTAAAAGAAACGGAAGATATATGCCTCTGCAGATGTCAACAAATTAAGAAAATCTAGATGTGTGCCTGTTTCGACAGAGAACTTAATTGATCATCGGCATATTGATTTATTTTCCTAAGAAGGATGAAAATAACTACTACCATACTCCTATATGGTTGATTACATGTTAATTTTTCAATTTACCCAGCTCTATATGAAAATAAAAATAGACATCAAGAAACGATAGCAGCATTCATATTTACCTACCTCCAACACGAACTTCTTAAACACATAACCAGGAAGCAACTGGTTTTTCAGTGTTGGTGACCGGAGTTCGACATGCTTAAGAGTAGAAGGCTTCACAATCACTCTTTCGTCACAATTTTTAGAGCTTGATTGGATCTAGCGGGTAAAAATCCAACACAACATACTGATTGGTCAGTACCACATTTAAAATAGGCAGATTTAAAAAAAAAAAAAAAATTCCATGCCTTCTTACAAGAGAGAATGAAAACACGTAAGCACCAGCTTTGTGAAATAAATTGGGTAACTTGCATCCAAGGGGAAAGAAGTATAAGCCATTAAGCCCTTTATGAGCTCCTGGTGATATACGTTCTGAAAGAATTACATCCTGAGAATTCTGGCCTTCATCCTTAAATTTGACTTCCATTGTCATCTCTGTGCTGCTCTTGAAAATACCCTTCTGGTCTAACTTGCCTGTATTGCCAGGCATAAAATTCGCGGGCCTAACTACTGCTACAACATGGGTTGGAGGAACTTGACCGGCAAAAATCGGGGTATTAATAGGTAATGTCTGTAGAGGAAAATGAATATCTTTCAGAGTTAACTTCTTTAGAATGTGGATAACAGGAAATTTTAACTATTTCAGGTCCTCAAAGCCAAAAATCAGCCTTAACCAGAGAATTCAATAATAGCAGCACTTGAGGAACAAGCTCACACGGTAGTTGAGAGGAGAAAAGGTTTTTTTTTTTGGGGGGGGGGTCAAAATCTAAAATACTAACCCCATCTATCTCCAACTCCTGACAATGGTTCCAACTCAGCAACTCGATGAAAGCAGGAGATTTCTGTTGTTTCTCATTAAGTTGAGTATCCCATTCAATGCTTTCAACATGTACAAGCTGGTACGTATTTCTTTGTGTTAGCAAAGATCTCAAATTATAATATCACCAAAAAAAAAAAAGATCTCAAATTATAAACAAGAAAAATAAGCTTGCAAAGTAAGCGACAACCTTTCCAGAGTCAATCACGCTTAAAGGTAAAGATAAAGAACTCCGAAGGTCCAAACTTGCATGCTCATCATCGACGGAAAGGACACAGCCATTTTCATTCGGTACATCCATTGACCTACAATATAAGCACACCAAATTTTGAGAAGCGACACAAGGAATCATATTATTATTATATAAAGTTCTTTCAAGGATAACAACGACTGACCTGCATATGATGCGGGCCTCTCCTATTAGCAAAGAAAACAAAGCTAGTCAGCTTCTTCATATTATCAAGAACCCACAAATTAGGAAAACAAATTCACAAGGATGTGATGCTACTATTAATGACAGTGTAACCATCTCATAAAATAATAGAAATAGTTATTTCCCTCGGCTGTGGAAAGAAGTGGCTTAGAATTTGAACCACAATTTTAGATAAAAATCAATAGATATCGCAATGTAATTGTGGAAACAATTTAAACTTTGACCCCTCCGCACCTTGCACAAAGTATCCTTTCGTATAGAGATTTCATATTTTCCTTTACCATGAAAGCAACATTGCGTGAATTAAGCAAAAGTGATGTAGGTACTAGGTAGAGTTTCAATACACAAATTTTACGGAATTTCGACATTTATTTCATAATTTATGCTCAAGACGATATTTCGAGCCATAGATACAGTTCAACAAGCGCTTTGCATAGCACTACCATGGTAACTGTTCTTTTGAATATCATAACAATTTGTGTTCGAAGTAATAAATTAAGGGATAAAGGCTAGCTTTCGTTATATTGCAAAACAAATTTATTTGCTGCTTGTTCATAAACAAGTCATATGAATAAATATATATTCTTATATTATTTTAGAAATCAACTTTGGAGTTTTAAGATTACCACGAGAACATTCATTCTGCAGTATCGTAAATTAACCGTCGAGCCAAGCTCAAACTCGAGTACCCGAAAAAGGGGGGAAAAAAAAAAGAACGGGTTTATTATCTAAGAGCTTACCCCCAGCGTCCCCTTCTAATCCATCTAGCAGGAAATATTCTATAGTCGCATAAGTATTGTTGCGACGCCCCGGGCATGCTCCCTTGAGTACTTTGATTTTCTCCCCACGGCTCCAGGAATTTTCCTTTCGCTTCAACTTCTGATGAACCCTTGCGACTGCATGTAAATGAGGAAAAAAAATGACGAGATAAATATAGATTTACTCATGCCCAGAAAAGATTCCCACTATATCCTGAATCCGCTGGTCTTCTTTGCATGATTTATTTGCCCATTGCAAAAAGTACATATAGAAAGAAACCAATCGGAAGGACATCAAGGGGAAACTAGGATTTGATCAGTTGATCATTGTTAAATACCGTCAGAAGAGATGCCGAGTGCCTTTTTGTTTGGTGGGGAGACGATAATAAGTGGCTGATCCTCACCCGAATCGACTTCTTCATCATACCGTTCATGCATTTGAATAATCCAATCTTGGTATTCTCTTTCCAGTTGGAATGGAGTTAAAAGCTTCCCAGCTCTTCGAATTTCGACGATAACATCTAGTGATTTAAAATAACTGATCAGTACGATGTTCCAAAAACAAGACAGCAAAGCTGAACTAGCGTCATGCGTAAAATATATATACAAGGGCAGATTACCTCTCTCTTTCTCAGGAACCCTACTGCCAATTTTCTTCAAAGCAGTCGTAAAGTGATTGTGCTGAGCTAGATCAGTCTGAAAAGACACGTATTAACTATCATTATGTACCATTCCCCTTATATTTACTTGTTGCGTCAGTGAATAGAGAGATTAATAACAAATGCATAACAAATCCAGGAAATATGGGAGACATGCACAGTATTTAAGTATAGCGTGTATAACCTTGGATGGTGTTGGCTTGAAACCTCCGTCGGTCTCTGCAAAGCACAAAGGTCTAGATGAGGACACAGAATTTAGCAAACTAAATTAATTGCGCCCATGAAAGCAATAATGTTGTGACGCAGTACCTATAAAGCATTTCACCCTTAAACAACACCTCTTCAATTGGTGAGCCCTGTTCCCTTTTTTGTTCCTCAAATCCATAAAAGGAAGCATACCCTGTGGTAAAGGAAGAAAAATCTCGAGCAATCACACATATTTAGATTATGTCTGAAGAAGGCATCTGAGCAAATGACATAACAAATTCCAGCTGACTCCTTTATTAGCTACTGATTTTGGGAACGCTGCCTAACTAGCAAGTTAACTTACGGTCAAAGAAAACCATGTGTTTTTTTAATTCCGTTTGAGAGTATCTAAAGTAGTGATCGTTGAGTGTAGCTCACAAACCTTTATTTCCAGAATCAAATCAATAATCAATATCAATAATGGGATTAATAACCCATGATGAAGCATATAAAAACAGCTAGGAGAATTCAGGGAGCAAAAAAAGATACAAAGTCGATGCCAAGGATGAAATTTTACCCAACGAGCATCTGGAAGTAGACGACCAAGCCGCCGAACAGAGACCCGACTAAAGCTTTGGAAGTTCTCTTTCGTTTCAAAACCATCGGCCTTCAACTTCTCCAAAACCCTCTCAATATTCTCCTTTCCCTGAAATTTAAAAAATCTTTCCCTTTTATCATAGATTTGTAAATTGTGAATTATAGAAAACGGGTTATATTCTCTATGTTGTTACCTCTCTGAAGGGTAGATACACTAACCTCAGACGTGCATTTGCTTCTTGAGATGCTCCTGATCCTAAAACAAAGATTTTGAAGTAGAATTAAACATTGGCAAATTTTCTGGCAGTTGATCAGACATTTAAACACGCAGCACACCATGGCATATAAAGATTGAACGGGATTACCAGGAGTTCTCGCGCTGTCACAATGATGCATAAAGGAAAAACGAAGCTGTAAAACAAACTCAGGGCCATTACAAGAGTGCCAATTGGTGATTGCAACCTCCCCACCTTCAATTTCGGTCAAATCCACACCATTAACCTGTAAAATTAGCAGGTCCAATCTCACATACATAGTAGAGTAAATTAGACGTGAGCCCATGCGTTACACAAAATCTAAAAGATAGGTCTCATTTTTCATAACTTATAAATAGTGCGCCCTCCAATATGTTTTATATATTGACAGTTGATTACTCTTATTTTATCACTTTTATGCCCTATGACAAAGATAGAAGTATTTTGGTAATCGTGCATTGCTGAAGCTCATCTTGATTCTCATCACAATTTGTCCTATAATTCTAAGAAAGATTGATATATGTTCTCATTAATAAAATGAAAGGCTGTAAAATTACGCCATGTCTCAAGAGAGTGTGAGGGAGTATCTAAGGCTACATATCAATTCAAGTATCTGCTACAATATAGCATTTTTTTTTATCGCCTGAACTCCTGTGTCTGTAAGAATCTTATAATGACATTTTAGAGGAGTACTTGGTCAGCTGCCATTAAAAGGAAAAATAAATAGTATGACAAGACAGGGAGAATGCAAGCAGATTGCATCCAGCTCTTATGCATCAATTCTGAAGGATTACTGAAATTCACAACATTTTGATCATGAGCTATCGAAATTGTAATTCTGACGCAAGAACCTGGAACTCTATTGGTGTAGTAGTCTTCCTGGTCTTGGACATGTCATCACACTGCAGGAAAGGATTGTTTTAGAGACAGCAGATAATACTCTACGACCATTTTAATGTCAATGGTTCTTGTTATAAAACAAAAACAACACGTAAGCCAGAAAGGAAAAAAAACAAGGGAATTCCAATCAAACCAAACCTGAATGTAAGGGAAATAGATGTCCTTCATCTGGCACTGAAGTTTAGCGAGGTCGCCCTTGAAGTCTGAACAGAAAATCTCAACCTGCAGATAACTTTCAAAAATTAGAATAACCAATTAAACTTGCAGGACTAAGAAATTATAACAATGTAGAAAAGGAAAGAATTGCATTTCATTGATACACATGTTGTTTATATACGGAAGTAAATAGCTTGGCGGGAAATAACGACTAACTAATTTACAAAACTGTTTTCAACCAAATCTGATAAAAGTTATCTGATTCTAATGTCAATGTTTATATATAACATAGAAGAAAGCAAAAAAGCATATGAAACTTATGAAAACCGAGTTATATATCAATGGGTGGCGCTACTTTCAAGATGCATGGGCATACCACAAAAGGTGACAATATGACAAAATTTTGAAGTGTTCAAAAAGCAATTCAAAGTGTCGCAAACGGCGAATGTTCGTGCGTAGAATAAGTACGATAAGACAGCTCACTTTCTAAAATACTTCTCGCAGCTAAGAACAAAAGTCAAACGAGCAGGGTTATATAAAAAAGACAAAAGAAAAAGAAAATGAGAGAAGAAATAAAAGATCATGGGCACTAACTACCTTTGTGAAACTGCCATGATTTGAATCCCTGTTTTCTTCCTCTGAGGGATTCCTGATGCCACCATCAGTCTGAAATGACAGATAAATAAACAAAAGTAACGGATTACTGTTTGCAAACTCCAGGAACAAGTAAAAGCAAGCACAAAAAATATTGTACTGATGAGGAATCATTATTACCTTCCAAGTTAGATCAAAGTTAGACGGACTTAGCAAAGCTTCTCTCTCAAGATGCAACATGTAGACTTTCTTGATGTGTTTTGTCTTGGAGGAAACAACGGCCCGCCTATAAAACAAGAATAAAATGATTATAGAGGTTGGAAAGGGAGAGATACGAAGTCAGAGTATAGAGTAATTGAACAAAGACGTGTGAAAAATGGGAATTCATTTTGGGGAAAGAACTACCGCCCCAGATGCATAGATGCAATAGGTCCACCGTATCCAAACATCCCAAAATAAGGCTGCACAGTCACCACAAATAAATGGAGAAAGCTTAGAAGATGACACGCATTAGCAAAATTAAGCTACAATAATGGCAAGAATGTAATGAATATTGCAGCACAAATCGTAATCCACAAAATTAACTGAATAATCCCTATTACCAATATATATAGATAGTGTAGAGAGTATTAGGAGGCCCGCAGCATAGGAAGAGTCAGAAAGTTAAGGAAAATCTAAGAACTCAAGACACAATTAAAACAGAAGAACACAGAGTCCCGAGAATTAATGTTACCTTCAAATATGGAGGTTTCCCCCCTATAGCCAGTGATTTAGATGATCTATTAAGTGAAGCGCCCATCTTACCCCTGAGAAGATAAGACTTCAACATAATGTGAATGCGTGAAATATGAAGCAAGCGATCATTCTAACCAGTCTTGAATCTTAGATTCTATCTCCTCAAATATAATTTACTTCGGAAAATCAATTTCAACATGAGGCAACAAATACTCTATAGTTTGAAATTCCCAGATCACACAGTAACAATCTCAAACACATGCGTATGTTGAATCAAAAATTAAGACTGGTTTCAAAATTCAGTATGCCATGAAACTAGTGGCAGAATTCAATCCCCCACAACTTATGTCCTCTAGTCCCTAATCCTAACACCTAGACACAAATCTATACGGCCCTCAATAACGTTTTCCTTGTCGAGAAACAACAGACAAGTAACATCGCATTTTTAAGAAATTCACAAAATAAAATACCACATACCACTTCACTAAGGAATTTTCATCAGTGTCATCCATTCCGGAGCCAGTGTCAAAAATTGATATCTTATCCCCATCCAGATCTATTCTGCAAATAAATAAAAATGAACATCCCTACGTCAATGTGATTTTAATAAAATATATTAGTAATTACCAAATAAATTTTGAATTACTTTTTAATCCGTACGCTATAGTTTGAAGTAATTTGTGCAGAACAATACGCTTCATAATATATTTCTTCAAAATAACAGTTGGACAATGTAAGATAGTGCAATTTGATACTTGAAAACTGGAAAATTATCCAACTGATGGCATACCTAATAAGTCTCCTCTCATTTTCCTGATTAGACCAAACAGCTTGCAAGGAATTATCCTGATAAAGACAGTAGTGTTAGCGTCAAAATCTCCATTACATTTGAACATTACGAGTTTATTTTCTCAGTTGCGTCAAGGATCTCACAATCAAGTCCGCAAGAGCTGTTTCGAAAGTGTATTCTTCAGGAAGCTCCAATAGCAGATTAGTATCTGGTGTTAAATCCCACATGTTCTGCATACCAAACAAAATTTTAACGTAGCCTCTGATTAAAAGATGCTCTCAGAATCAAAACCTTATTCCGATGACCAATTAACCATTAAAACATATACACTGACAGGCACTAGAAAACAGAAAACTAAATGAACATGAACAAGAAAAGTCCATATAGCATACAAACCTTAAAAGTGTAAGCAATATCGCCATACTCATCCTAATACAGAGAGATCAAAAAAGCATTAAACCATCAGCAAGTAAGAAATATAATGCCATCAAGCGTAATATAAATTTAAGCAAAGATGATTGCATAAAATGTTATGGGTGTCTGCGAAATGATGGCCACTAAAACAGAGCATGACCACTAACGCTTGCACTCACTTGAAGTCGTAAGAAATGGCACTTGTGAGGATCATAGTTTTTGAAGCGAACTGGATCTTTGACTTTTGCATCATTAGCATCCAGAAGAAATAGATTACCAACGCTCCAGTTAATATCCCTTTTCTTCGTTACTAATGGAGAGCGCTTTCGAGCCACCAAATACTTATCCTTCACCAAACTGATGAAGTCTCTGAGAGGCATTTCAGGATCAGGATTCCGCAGATTCAGTTCTATGCTCGTCCGGTTTGGTAATAAGATTTTAAACCTGTAAACCTTTGCAATGATGTCGTTATCACCATCATCATCACTTATGCACACTTTCCTCTTTCTAGAGATCCTGTAATTCGATGAGCCTTCCATATTGACCTTCGACTCTGTAAACAGCCGAACAGAATGGACAAAAGTTAAAAGAACTAAGTATTTTCCCCGAAATCATTGAAGCGAACAAGTAGATGAACTAAAAAGTTAAAACGCTCTCAGAGTCATTTATAAATCAGTTCCCGGGATTTTCGATATCATTGAAGATGAACTAAAAAGTTAAAAGAACTCATTATTTTGCCCGGAATATAGAAAAAGCGGTTTTTGCATTGAGTTATAAGATGACTACCAGGTTCAAAAGCACAAAACTGTCGAAACCTCGAAGAATATATGCAAGCACGTAAAAATACAAACAAAAAAATGGATACGATGTAGCTGAACAAACAAACGACCTAAATAAGCATATATAACTCATTTATATAAAAGAAAGAAGCTCTGCTTTAAAGATTAAAAAGACTGAAAACTAAGCTTCATACAGTTCAACAAGGGACACCGTTGGATACTGCTCGACTGTCCTGTGAAGCTAAGAATTTTGTCAAGAACGATATAGAGAGCGCTACGGTTTTACAGAAAGAACGATGGGAAGAGCAAGCAACGGTGAGGCAAGAGGCGAGTGAAGGAGCGTTTACGCAAATAGGAATTGAAGAGGCACTAAGGACTGAGCACTGTTTGGTGTGTGTGACAGTGGGTAATGCTGGAAACGGAAACGCCCGCGCATATTATGTTCCCCGCGCAGAAAAAGCAAGGTGGGGACCACGAGGGACACTTGGCCAGCGGCCTTTCATTTTTTCTGGCAACATTACTTGGACAAATCGAAGAAAGACGCAGCCCGAGCCCGACTAAAAACACGAAAAATCCCACAAAGATAATTATAGAAAGTAATTGAGGAGACCCACGTCTAGCGTTTAAGAAGTCCTTATACCAAAAATGGGAATTATTAATCCATCTTGTACCATAGATCTAAAATTCTTTTCCCAATAACCACATACTAAAGAAGGTTTTTATCGATGGAAATATTTTTTTAATGCAAATAACTTTAAAAATTAAAAAAAATTAATATATATTTACCACAAATAACTTACTTATTTAATTTTTGTAATCTCTATAAATTAATTATCTAGTTTATACATTTAGATAAAAATTTTGTCAATTAGATCTTAAGAAATCATTAAAGCCATCTCCAATCCTTAGTATAAAAGATGTTGGATTTGTTTCCTAATATAAGATAATAAGACATCAATACATATTGTCTCTCATTTTTTTAAACTATTCTAATTTGTTGTAAGAATTTTGACTAAGGGATAATTCAAATTAACTAATGCATATGACTAAAGAGAATAGTTTTAAAAAAAAAAACCAGTAGAGATTTGTAATAAATAATTGATTGATGACTTAATTAATTTTTTAATATATTCAAATTAATGAATTAATTTTTACATTGTAATAAGTACAGTAATAGTAACATTTATAGAGGTAATTAAATACGAACCATAAACTTTTCACGGAGATCAAACGATCGTTTGCTGAGGAGTGGCGGTTCAGTTAGACTTTACTCTTCATGACACGGACGACGCGGTGGACGACTTATCGCATCAGGCCCTCCCAGCATGGCTCGGATCCGGATGAGCTTCTAGCTGGGGACGTGTCTAAATAAATTATAGGAAATTGTTAAAAATGCACCCAAAAAAAAAACGAGAAATTGCTAAAAATAAAGTGATAAGAAAAACACAGCCCAGAGCCAATCACTTGTACGCGTCACTTATACGGATTGAAAATAAATCCAAATCACTTGCACGAATCTCTAATGAGCAAATAAACAAATACATAACAGAAATTAAATAACACGCCAGCAATCAGAAATTATTAACATGAAAAATCTCTCAATGTGAAGATAAAAACTACGGGTTATCCAAACCAATAAAAATCAGAGTTTAAAATATCTTAGAACTGAAAAATATCTTAGAAAACAGAATTTAACGAGAACCGAATAGCCCCAACAAATAAATGATCCAGTCGATGAAATAACTTATTATATGTTGCGAATTTGCTAACAAAATTTCAGCTCAATCCAATAGTTAATTAATGCTTAAATGCCAATTTACTAAGACTACTATATAAATATGCAGAAATGATTTTCTCTTTTATTTTCTCATAAATGGCTGCACGCCCCTCTCTGACCCTAATTTGACCCCCCTTTACTTCAGTTAGTGAGACATGCATGCACTTTAAACATTGGGCCTTTCTTCACATATTTAAGCTCAGACCCAAGAACAAGAACTCAGATTGAGCTTCGCTTTTTTTCTTGATGAAAAAAAAAATTCCCCACCAGTTGAATTTGGACCCTTGGTGAATTATATTTATAAGTTTTATCCTTATCAACTAAATCAATATTGACCTGTTAGAAGAGCATTGGTGAGGTATGTGAGTCTTTAAATTTGAAAGAGCTGAATTTTAAATTGTACTCCTCCGGTCCTTATTATAAGACCCAATTTGACTTTTTATTTGGTCATAATTATAAGACCCAATCCATTTTTTCTCTTATATTTATGCATTTTTTTCCAAGATAATCCTTCTAATAATGATAGTTTTAGCCAATATACTTAATTAGCAGGATATTTAGGAATAACACACTTATTTATTATAAATAACCAACTTAAACTTCCTTAATCTCCTCAATAAGTCAATTGGGTTTAATTGTATTATAAAATTTTACATGTGTGTAAAATTGCCTTTCGTTGAGTGAGTTTAACCCTCATACTTGATTTTTTTTTTTTTTAGCGAAACCCTCATATTTGATTTTAAAAATTGTGGTAGAAAATAGAAATTATGTCGGCTGCGAAAGGAGGGAGGGTGGCTCCCATGTGGCGTAATAAAGCTTAAGTAGCTCGTTGGAATAATGCTTCTCACAATACCTGTGCATCGTTCCTTCGTCTTCTTCCGCGTCCTGTATTATAGATTTTATTTGATTTAATTCTTCATCAACTTTGTATGAATTTTAGTGGGTTCCGTATGGGTATTCATATGTTAAAAAAAAAAAATCAAACGATCTTATGCCTTAGATGGCAAAAAAAACAAACGATGATTTCTCTAATGGGTGTTAGGTTGCCGTTTAATTCTTTCTGCTATTTCCGCTTTCCCCTTGAGCTCAAAATAAATGAACAGTGCTTCCTGTATTTTTCATGAAATCCAATTAATCAAATTGCATAGTTTAAGAAATTTGTTAATATTAGTTAAAAACGATAAACATGTAGCAAATGTATTTTTTTCCTCTAAACATGCCTTTTTTATAAGAAGGCAAGTGAGAGAGATAATAAGAAAAAAATATGAAAGAGAATGTATAAGAAAAACGATACAATTAATTAGAAATAAAATTAGTAAAAATATATTTAATTTTCAAACAACCCTAAACTTGATCTTGTAAAAAAGAGTTAACTAATTCAAAAATTTGTATTTAATAAAAAGACCAACTGATTCAAAAATTTGGATTTAATAAAAAGACTAGAGGAAATAAAGTAAAACACAATTTCCCCCTCCAATCCTACTTATAAGGTAGAGGCTATTTTTCATCTTATTCATAGTTTTTTTTCAATCCTATAAATAGGTCATATTATTAAATTTTTCATATGAATATATAATTTTTTCATTCATTTATTAGTCATGACAATAAAATATTAAATATATATATATATATTAAGTAAAAATAAAGTTGAACAGTTATATACAATTTTTTTCTTTTTATCTGACATGTTAAAAGTGCAACGTAAATAATGTATTATTTTTAAAGTTTTTATATTTTATAAGAAATGTTGAATATTGATTTATAGACATGCATAATTGCGTACCAGTACCGGTACCACTGCCGCGGTTCACTTTGACAGCTAGCCAAAGAATTATGTACGGATCCAGCTATTCTCATTGAAAGCATGAACATGTTTTCTCCAAATAAAAATTGTACGGGTTTCTTTGGTTCCACCTTGAAATTCATACACAGACAAGACGATTATATTTGCGTTTAAGTCCATTTAAAAGCAATTATTCAAACCAACTGTTTGGTGTACATAAGTGGTAAGTATTGATAATGCTCGTTGGTGGAAGATGGAAGTCTACAACGCTCCGCCGCATTACAAGTTAGCTGTATGAAAGCAAAGTGCCAGAATAAGTCACTTGCAGAGTTATTAATGCTCATTTTTCAATTTTTCAATTTAATTTTTGTTGAAAAAAAAGATGAGAAAAATGTGAAAATGAGTTGTAAACACAGAAAGAAAAAAAACACGACAAATTTGAAAAATCATATCAATCTAATATATTACTTCAGATTCTTAATATAATAGTGAGTTTGATATTTAATTTGGTCATAAATATAAGACCTTAATTCACTTTAGCTCTCATATTTATCTATTTTTTAAAGTAATCTTTGTAGTGGTTACATGTGTTAAATATTTATTAAATGATAGTTTTACTTAATACACGTTATTAAAAAAGATATTTTAATAAAAATAATACATATTTATTATAACAAAAATTAATTTAATAAATTTCTTCAATTTATTTAAATATGTGAGAATGCTGTATAATTAGTATTCTCAAGTTGAAAGCTGCATGCTGATGAGAATCCCGTGAAATTCAACCTCGCTCCTATGGTCACATCCAAGTGGTGCCAAATGCCCAAGTCCCAAAATTCATTGCTGATTAATTGTTTCTCTTGTCAATTTTTAGGCTAACAAGTAGGATTAGGATGGATTAACAAATTTATAAAAGTAAATATATACAATGTGATTATCACCATCAAATGATGATGTGAATGTAATAATTGAACAGTGATGTGAATTGCCTAACCATAACCGCAACTTTTTTTACCGTTTTAGTAATCTTCAAGTCAAAACTCAGCGCTGAACATATATATGCTCCCTTCCATTGCCCGACACTTCCAATTTGCTTCATGCCCAAACCAAGTCTTCTTCACAAGTCATCGTCACCTCCTATTCATATTCATCGCCCCACGATGCACTCGAGAAATCTTTACAACCAATCCTCAATTTCCTTTTTCTATATATAAAGAAATAAAATCATTTACGAAATTTGTTTAAAAAAAATGTATATATCCAGGAAAAACTAAATATCCTCGCGCAATATTTCACGGAGTTACAATAAATAATTGGAGACACGGATTTACGCAAAATACAAAATAAGTTATTCACCACTTATAGATAATGTTAGTTTTGACAAATTCTATAGATATGCATTTTTTATGACAACAATTTCAGGGGAGTTAAATTTATCAAATGCACGATAGGTCGAAAGACATAAATGATCATTCACTAATCTGGTCCTTCTTTTCTTATTTACCCCAACACACTAATTAGGTCCTCCTACTAACTATGATATTTAAATCCATCTTCTTACGAGTATGATGGAGTTGCATTCTCAGCAGCTAAAATTTTTTTCTTGGCATTTTGCAAACATGTTTGTTACTGTATTAATTAGAGTGTGAGTTTCATATGCGTTATATACAGAGGTTAAGATAAACCATATCTTTAATGACTTTTTGATACTTTTTCATGTGGATATAGATAGATTTTATCTTATACTATGTGCGTGTTTGATGCTGTGTATTGATTGTTAGTAATTAATAATTAATTAATTATCATTAACTACTCGCAGCGATTAGGACCGGGGGTGGTATATTATAAATAAATAAATTAACGGCATCCAGGGGCATCACCGCGCAAGGAAGGTGACGTGGACGAATTCTACGGGTTCCGGCCTCCGACTGTCAAGGCTTTGTTCGTTGTCTATCGAATCCCCCGTGACTGAGATAAATCCAAACGGCGTTTGCGCGGGCTTTACAGTTGCTAGTAGACCCTTTTTCTTCTTCCTTCTTCCTTCTTCTCCCTCACTTGTCCCTCTAAGTTTTGTGTCACAAGTATATTTCTCTTTTCCTCCGAAGACTCTTTCAAATGCACATATACGAATCTGGCAAATGCTCCGCTCAATACTCTAAAGCTTCAGAAGAGTGATTCAAAACAGCAGTATCCTCATTCCTGGTTTATTTCGTACTTTGATTCTCTCTTGTTCTTCACAAGATTCTAAGTGGCTCTGAATTTGATTGCATGTATGTTTGTGATTTGGTTATACTAGCTGAAATGTGTGCTTTTATTAGACGTTATTCGGTTTGTTGTTGAGACTGTGAATTGAGTTTAACTTGGCTGAATTGGTATGTTGATGGCAATCAGAGGCAGATCTTTCCGCCTGAGATGGGGAAGAAGGGTGGAGGTGGTTGGTTCTCGTCGGTAAAGAAAGCTTTCAAGTCTTCTTCTAAGGGCTCGCCGGTGCCAGAGAGGAAGGTGACCGATTTCCCTGTTCTTGTTCTGTTTTCGATTCTTTTTTAGTTAATGAAATCGAAGTTCCAAATTGCAATCTCATGAGCATGCTATTCCATATTCACATTCGTTCACTGATTTGTTAAGTTTCTTCGGAAACAGTCATATTAAGCGCGCGCGCGCACAACACAGGAATGAGAAATTTCTGGAGCTAAAAATAATGACAAAAGTTGAAGGATCAATGGCTGCCTTGTTCTTGTTGTTCTTATTTCCTTTGAGCCAGACAAGGGCTCTGTTAACTTATTCTATGATAACTCTGCACGTGAATTGCCGATTAACATTTAAATGTCTTCTCCTACAGCTAAAATTTTTATTAATCATTTTGGGCAGTGTCTGTGGAAGGTCTGGTTTATGAATCAGTCAAGATTCAAGTTATAAAAGATGGATGCAAAACGTTAATTAATTATGGAATAGTCACATGTATTTTTATAACTTAATTTAATCTTTTTATTTTATGCAATATATATAAGGGATTGGTGGGGCTCTTAACTGAGTTTTGTATGTTTGCTGAACGTGTAATTATCCCACTTCCTCTAATTACCAACCCAACCAAACCAACTTGAGAAAATAAAAATTGCATATCTGATGCGTCTAATGTAAAGCTAATATGTATCATAAAAATCCTACCTTACACATTGAGGGTCTTGCTCTTGTCCTCTTTCACAAGCAAGGCAAGTGAACAACATCCTGGATGCTGTTCTTGTCTTTTTAGGCATTGCCAAATAAATGACGACCTGCCAGGCCCTTTTCGAGGATGCTTAGGACCATATGAACCCCCTATGGTTTAATTATTATGTAGACATGGTCCCCTGTTCTGTCATGTGAATTTTTGTATGAAATAAATGTACTCATCCATGTCACATATTTATTATCCCACCTAACCAAACCCATCTTCTCTTTTATCTTGATCCTCATCACGTGTTCTCTATGTTAGATCCCTATCGTCATTGAACTCGGTTGTTAAAGTTTTTGCTAGAATATTTTTTTTCCAATTTTATCATGAAAGTTGTTATAAAAATAATACAAACAAATCAATTAAACAATCTGAGAGTTGACAGATTCTGTCTAAAATGCCGTTGTCCAATGATATTTTTGTATCTTGTACAATAACATATTAAACACTTTACTAGGTATCTTTTTCTTCTGCAATTTTCCAAATGATTGCTAATTAGGTGTCGGGCTGGGATGTGGCTGATTTGTAGAAGGAAGATGAAGTGAAATGGCAACATGAAGCACCCGAGGTTGTGTTGTTTGAGCATTTTCCTGCAGAGAGTTCTCCTGATGATATTACCAATGAGGAGAGCACCACGTCGACGCCTGTGACTGAAGATGGACGACGTGCTGTTGCTGCAGCAACTGCCGCAGCTGCCGAGGCAGCAGTTGCAGCCGCCCAAGCAGCGGCGAGAGTTGTTCAGATGGCAGGTTATGGACGCCAATCTGAGGAAGATATAGCAGCAACAATCATTCAATCATACTACAGAGGCTACCTAGTAAGACCTTCTTGTTCTCCTCATACAAATGAACACCGCTAGTATATGACTGCTTTCTTTAACGGGCAAACTTCGTTAACTGTTCAAGATCTTACCATATATTGTGGCTTATTTTGTTTGATTAATGATTTAATTAATCAGTTCAGTTTGGGCCATTAATATTGCTCCAATCGCAGATTTCTGCATTTAATCATTTGATGCGATGATACATTGATACTGACCTGCAATACAACCTTGTTACTGTTACCTTTCTTTTGCATACGATAAATTCGTAAACCGGAAAATTGGTTGGCCAAAATTTGAAAAGAAAAAGAGGAAATTGTTTCAAGCTAAAAAGCAAGACACGGATGTAAAACATGATAAAATACAGTGTTGCCTTCAAGTTTTAACACTGTTGGAGAACACGGTACAGTAGTTTCCCTGCTTTATTTGCCTGTTTCCCATTCATGCAAACTCTATGTCAATGACTAAAGTTAAAAGAACGTATTCTAAATCCAGCAATCTCCCTAACTGATATTGATAATGCATATTGAATCGAATCATTTTGCGATCATATTGGATTTCATTCACTACATAACATTAATTCATAATTCGTGTTATCCATGGCATGTGGGTGTTAAATTGTGTAGGCTCGACGTGCACGGCGTGCTTTGAAGGGATTGGTGAGACTGCAAGCGCTTGTGAGAGGTCACAATGTGAGGAAGCAAGCGCAAATGACAATGCGTTGTATGCAAGCGTTGGTGAGAGTGCAGGCCAAAGTTAGAGCTCGCAGGCTCCAGCTGACTCATGACAAGCTTTACAAGAATGTGATGGAACATGATTTAGCGCCCATGAGTCCCTTGTACAGGGATGGTTGGGACAATAGGCGTCACAGTTTCCAGAGAATCAATGAAAGTGACCTGTGGAAACATGAAGATGCATTGAAGAGGGAGAGAGCTCTTGCTGACGCTTATAATTATCAGGTTTGTTACTTCTCTTTCTGGCCTTGATCCCAAGATTGCTTGTCTGAACAGTTTTCAATTCTCATAAATTATTTAGGGCGTGAATTAAGCTTTACAATCTACGAACTTCGCAATGGCATTGGTAAATAAAAACGCTTTCCTTGGTTTCATTGAAGTGAAGAAAGATTTTGTATGTCCACCTCTGTAGTATTATGGGCTGGGGGAACATTTATGAAGTCATCAAGCCCTTTGATTGAGGACAAATTGTTGCTATATTTGTGATATTATTTGTGTCAACAACAAAGTTGTGCATTAATTATTCCAAGCGATTAAAAAATGCTGGAAAAGACATGAAGTGCACGAAACTTGCCATTTTCAAAGATAACATGTGCATTGCCTAGTTTTTCAAGGCTAGAAGCAAATGCACGCGAGAAACGATATTGTTTAATTAACCTGCATTTTTGTTTTTATTTACACAATTAAAGTCAATGTTTGAAACTTCTTAACATCTCTGGCGAACCAATCACATCTCTCGTCATGAGATTGTAGAAATATAAAATGCTACAGTGTCGGCGTAAAATTTAAAGTATTTTTAGTGGGTCTAATTTGAACATCAAACGTGATTGTTTGATACGAAACCACCTTGTGAACGTGATTTTCACTACTTTTCTTTGCAGCAACAGAACCGGTCACCGCATCCAGGCCTGAATCTTGGAGAAGAAATAGAAACATATTCCAGTGAACTTGAACAAGCCAAGCGGGGTTGGAACTGGTTAGAGCGTTGGATGTCCTCTCAACAAAATCAGGCCAGGCACTTGGGGCCGCCAGAGACCTCTTATTACATGACCCACGCTACTACAACCACCGCCACCACCGCTGATGACATGTCTGAGAAGACGGTGGAAATGGACATTGGGAGCACCACCATCAGGGGCCAAGGCCTTCTTCTGGACTCAAGCCCAATTCCCAATAGGCGGTCCAATGACATACAACCCCAGCCCAACACAGGCGTACCTAGCTATATGGCCCCAACCCAGTCTGCAAAGGCCAAGCTAAGGCTTGGTCCCGGCCCAGTCAAGCCACGTGGCTCTCCTGTGCCAGCGTGGAATTCTTCAACAAGGAAGAGCTACGTCATGGGGTCGGGCTGCGACTCCTCCAGCTCAGGGGGAGGAACGGCAAACTACCTGTTTATGAGGAGCCCAGGCCCGAAAATTGGCGGGGCTCCTCTGCAGACTAGACGGATTGCGGGAGGAAGCTCAGAATTTGTGGGTAGTGAGGATTGGACACTGCCTCTGGGAGCCCATGCTTGGGCATGATGTTAATTTCTTATATATAATAATTATCATCATAATTTCCAAAAATTTCTATACCCAAAAAAAAAATTATCATCATAATATATTAGGACTGGATAGGGTGGGTGGTCAATGCGTTGTATTTATAGAAATGTAATAATGTTCTTTGTTGTTGTGAACAAATCATAAATCAAACATTTAAAAAGGTGTTTTGTGTAATTTTCTTTAGTTCTAGGGTGAATCCGAGTTTCATGTTTTTGTTCAGTTTGTTTTTCAAATTTTTTCGATAATTCAATATACCGTAGGATAATATTTTTTTCAATCAGATGTCCAAACCACCACTTGCGACCTCGAATCCCTCAAATTCCTCAGCCTTCACTCTTGCGCTGGGACCAGGGCTTCTTGATTGAAGTGCTCGCAATTTTCAATTTTGTTCTCCGTATTTGCTGCGGGGGAACGAAGCTTCCCTAACAAAACGAATATATCAGGGCCGAAAACCGCGCCACGTCCCTCTCCAGGCAAGTTATTTATACCACTCAACATTCATGACTCCTTTTAATGCTTCTTGTTACTAGAAAATAGTACAGAAAAATATCTTATTTATAGATTATAGATTAGATTTTATAATTAGAACCCGGATACTGCGTAAAGATAAACACACGAGATTTTGCTGTTGCTTAATGCGTTACTCCATGAGCTTTGAAGGGGGAGAATACAGGAAATAATCTAGAAAATTTTCTGGTGGCTCAGAAAGTATGACGTAAGAAATTAAGGGGAGAACGATGGAAATAAATTTTTTCTATGTTTTTTCGGATCGTCTTTCATAAATATGCAGCAAAGGATTCTGAGTAGAAAGATAAATTAGTTATTTTAAGCTGTTTTTTTTGGCCAAAATTTATTTTAAGCTGTTATGATATAAATTTAAATTACTATTTCATTCAATCTTTTTAATTAGACATTATTTTAGGAGTTTTTTAAGGAAATCTCATAAAAAGGTAACATAAGTTTAGGAAATAGAGATTTTTTTTTTCCTTCTGTTTCTTCCGCTACTTCTATAATTTTACGGGGTTATGTTAAGTATTACTCCTCTGATTCTTAATATATGACCCATTTAACTAATTTGATTAGATTAAACAAGTTGGGTAAATTAGTTAATTATAAGAAATGTGACACATTTTTTCTAAAATACTATAATCATCTTTCTTAATACCCTTTCTTTCTCTTTTACTTGATTATGATTGAAGGAATATTCATAAAGGTAATTTAGAAAAAATTGATAAATATGAAAAATATGTCTTATATTTAGGACCAAAACCAACTCAAAAATTAGGTCCTATATTAAGGACGGGAAGAGTAATATACTACTACACCTATTCAACAAAAATATACTATCGCACATTTGCACTACCACGGTATGCAAAACATGCCAAACAAATACTCGTATCTTCTTATTATTAAAATTCTCTCTATTTTCAATTACTAGTATTTTAATAAATAACAGATCATGGCATTTTTTTAATTTTATGCAATATTAATGTTGTTGTGCATATATTATTATTTATACCTTATAATAAATATTTATCATTTGATTAATTTTTTAAAAAAAATTTATAAATATCAATTTATTGCATGATATAAAAATTTAATTGGGTTAAAATAAGGAGTTCAAAAATAAAGATTTTTTTCTCTATTTTTTTCCTAAAAAATATCTAGATAAATATAGGAAGTTATCATCAACCTATTAAAAAGGATTGGTCATGTTTATCCGTCAAATCTAGTCCATTCAATACGGTTATAAGTAGAAAAACTTTTGATTCAAAGTCCCATCGTCAAGCCACGTCACCACGATTCAAAAATGTCCACCGTTGCGGTCTACGCGTCAAGAATTGATTGGATAGCCATATTATTCACTCGCATAACCGAACTCTGGATTCTTCTCTAATTTCGCGCTTTTTTCAGATCTGACGCATCCTCAGTGTGCTCTGCTTCTTATTGTCACCTACACCCTCCGCTTTTGTAGATTTTCTTTGCTTTTTCAACCGCCATTCACGATCCCTTTCGTCTTTCATAGGACTCGTTTATCCCTCTGATTCTGTCTTTCTCTCCACCGCATGGAGTCTCTTGAGCTAGCTCGGGTACTTCTGTGTTCGAATTTAGCTCTAAACAAAGGCAATAATGGAGCCACAAGGCAGTTCGTATTCAATTCTCCGCTGAGAAGAACGCGTAGAAATGGCTCCTTGCGTCTCAGAAGCTCCCTTGGTGGAAAGTGGTTCACAAGACGGGCCTTCTGCTTTTGAAGATGAAGGTCGACAACGTAAGAGACAAAGGGCTCTAGTATTAAGCAAAGAGACGGACGCTTCTGGCCTACCAATTGGCTTTCACTTGATTCCTCAAACTGGTACAATCTTGTCATTTCTGTTTTTAGACTCGTAGTTTATAATCGACTTTTAGCCAATTCCGTTTAGTTTTGCACGTCACTTTTTTTGAATTAATAAAAAAGAGAGAAACGCCTAATACTTGCCTTTGAAAATAGTTCGTACTTTGTTTTATCTTTTATTCTCAATTTATATACTTCACTATCACTGCTCTCTTCAGTTCTATATTTATCAATGATTTCAGGGTATCTCTTCTCTAGCAGAGAATGCCTTTAGGTAGCATTTTACAGTCAATGACGGATTACTAAGACCGACCTAATAATATCTGGGGATTGGATTTAACAATAGCGAAGCCGATTACATGCAGCATAACAGAGGCACTTAATTTGGCCTCAGGATTACTCAGCAATTTATGAAACTTTGATCATCCATCTTTCACGTAATTATAATAAGATTAGTTGCTTTTGGATTGTCCATTTCCAAATGCATGTGACTCAAAGTACTCGTTGTTTCACATAGTCTGTTCCTCGGTGCAACAACTGAATCAATAATATTGTTTTCTTTTCTTGCTATGTTTGATCCGGAATACATGAGATCTGAAAAGTATGCTTGATCTAGTAAATTGGCAGTAGCATCCCTATTGACACTAACATCTCGAAATGCACCGTAAGAGGAAAAAATGAAGAGCTCTGCGAAACCAAAAGAAATATATTATCAAATCTGTAATGATTTTCAAAGCTATATGGTTATCAAGGAGACATATAATCCTCCATCCAGTTATGGTAATAATTACATGTTAAGATGCGAATACGATAATATGACTCTCGAGAATCATGTTCAGGCACGATCGTAGAAGATGAAACAACTGACAGAGTAGAACAATCGGAAAGCTTGCGGGTTGAAGAATCTGAAGACACAAAAGGAGAAGAAAAAGCTCAAACTAGAGTCACCTATAATATTGTTTTTGTTACTTCCGAAGCTGCACCATATTCAAAAACTGGGGGACTAGGGGATGTTTGTGGTTCTTTGCCCATAGCACTAGCAGCTCGTGGACATCGGGTGATGGTTGTTTCACCCAGGTACCAACGTGGTACTTCTGAAGATTCTATTTATTCTGGTACAGTTGATCTGGGTTACCGTTCCAAGATATATTGCTTCGGAGGGATTCACGAAGTTGGCTTTTTTCATGAGTATAGAAAGGGCGTTGATTGGGTAAGAGCTTCCAAGTTGTTCTCAGTTATGTTATTTTAAAAAAAGAAAAAACTACTTACTCACATTATAGCATCTACTTTTTGTCTCTGATGATGGTTTATTATTTCATATGATCTCATTTTTTAGGTATTCGTGGATCACCCTTCGTACCGTAGACCTGGAAATCCATATGGGGACAATTATGGGGCTTTTGGTGATAACCAGGTATATTCTTATGACCAAGTTTAAAATTAGATTTGTAATTTTATCTGTGTTTAATGAATAATGATGGATGTCTCTCACATTTGGTTTCACAGTATCGGTTCACTTTACTTTGCCATGCTGCATGTGAAGCCCCACTAGTGCTTCCATTGGGAGGATTCACTTATGGAGAGAGATGCCTATTTCTTGTTAACGACTGGCATGCCAGCCTAGTTCCCGTGTATGCCTGCTACCTCTGTCCATGATTATCTTTTATTTTGACTTTTTCAAATTTAACATCTTTCTTCAAATGAAGAATTACAGTGTCTGTGAGCATGTAAATTTTGATTTTTTTTTTTCCTGAGCAAATCATTTCTGTCAAACAAAGGAAATTCTGATTATGCGTGTACAAGCATCCATCATCACAGCTGATGCAACTTGGAATTAGAAAATATAGGGATGAATAATTTCTCGCTCATGCTTAGCTTGCCATTTAAACTGAGTTTAACACAATTCTGGACTAAAAGATGTATCATTTGAAAGATTTCTTTCGCCAATTACTCCTTGAAGGCCTTAAATTTTCCATTTATTATGAATTTGTTCTTCTTCATCGATATGCCACAATTAAGGAATTGGGGTTTTCGCAATTTGAGTTCCATATGGAACTATTTTTTATTATATATGGTGACATTGTTGAGGATCAGTACCAGTACTTAAACTGTGTGCAGACTTTTGGCAGCAAAATATCGCCCACATGGAGTATACAAAGATTCTCGGACTATATTGGTGATACATAACATTGCACATCAGGTAACTCAATTTAAATTCAGTCCATTTTTTTCTTTTGAAATGATTTTATCTTTATCTCTGCTTTCTTTTGTTGAACTTCTGAGCTTCAATGATAGAAACTTGGGTGAAGGATTTCTGCAACAAATTTGACCTTTGACTTGTGCCTGATGCATGTTGCCTTTTGCATTGTTCATCTACCTATTATTGATGGTGGTCAAGTTAGAGACTAGAAATCTGATGCGGAAAGGCTATACATTGGTGCATACATGTGGGAAACCAAAACCTATGGTTATCACCTGAACTTGAATATTCGGATATTCATAAATTTTTGGGTGACTGATGCAACCTTGTTGGTCATGATCACATCCAAGTTCATGATTTGAACGTAGTTTGATGAGTTTTTCATGCATATCAAACAAACTTGATTGTGTCCTGAAACTGGTATACCGTGCCACCCTAATAAAGTGTAGAGTTGCTGTTATAAAAAATGTAATTTGCTGGCTGATGGCCTACACTGTCAGCTCGAATTCATTCTTAGATGGGTAACGTTTTATTTTCCTAAACCAAGAAACAAGCTGATGAAGGTTTGTCATATATAAGGGAGTGGAACCTGCAATCACATACGGTAACTTGGGGCTACCTCCGGAATGGTGGGGAGCACTGGGATGGGTGTTTCCTACTTGGGCAAGGACTCATGCTCTTGACACGGGCGAAACTGTCAATTTTCTAAAAGGTGCAATTGTGACAGCTGACCGGATACTAACAGTAAGCCAGGTCATAATATTCCATCTCATATATTTTGCTTCCAGTTGCTTGGTATCTTCAAGTTTGAATCTATCAAACCATGGTGAAATAAATTTTTTTTTCTAGATGCCAAATGACTATTTGGAATGACATGTTGATTTGTCGCAATAAACTATGAAAACATGAATCGTCATGCATGACAATTGTCATGTATATTATCATGTAATGATGTACTTCGTGTAAAAGGTGCTTCCCTTTTATAGGGCTATTGCTGGGAGATAACAACGAGTGAAGGTGGATACGGTCTACATGACCTATTAAGCAGTCGAAGTAGCGTCCTCAATGGTAACCATTTTACTTCTTCTCATGAAGCATACATTTTTAGAAATGTTATCTGTTTTTTAAAAAAATGCCAAATTGATATATATGTAGTTTATGCTTCTGAAAAAATTTCCGTTCGTGAACAGCCAAAACCTTAGTGACTTCTCGCAAGAATAAAATTCTTAATCAAATTTGCGACATTATTTGTATCTTTCCAAGGGAACATACGCAATCAATCTAAATGTTTCTAACATATATGCTGGGCGAAGAGTACTTGAAAGCAAGTATGACCCATTTATCTGTTATAATTTCTTCTTGGTGGTGAATTTGGACGCTCTTTCTCGAATCTTGCACCTTGTAAAATTTCTCCTATTCCTATTTATACACTTTAAACTTCATAATTATTATGTTGAAATGTTCTGTACCATTGTTAGGTAATTGTCACTTGTGAATACAATGCTACAAGGATATTGGTCTGTCTATTATAAAGAGAAGTTGATGTCTGTCTAGTTATTAACGGAATACAGCCCCTTTCACATTCATAAAATCATTATAGAAGAAGTTATTTTTTTCTTAATGATTATTTACAAGTCCAGAACGCCTGGCCTTGGGATCAAAAATGAAATCTGACATATATCCAGGCCAGGCTTCAGGTTAAGGGTCAGCCCAGTCTTTGCGCTTCCCTACAGATGCGTCTTCTGCGATTATCTTCTCTCTCCATTATATTGATGTCGACTTCTGCAAGTTCTTGTTTCAATCCAAATATGCAGAATCAGCAAAGAAGTTATCTCCTTTATGTTTACTGAATCACTTCAAAGTATGAACTTATAACAGATTAATTATGACCAGGGATCACCAATGGAATTGATGTTGCTGAATGGGACCCATCATCAGATGAACATATTGCTTGCCACTATTCTGCTGATGATCTTTCTGGGAAGGTTGATTTAGTCTCTCTCTATCATTCCTCTCATTTAAGAACTTGACTCATCTTACCTCACATTATCTGTCATGTACAGGTCCAATGCAAAATTTCCTTGCAGAAGGAATTGGGTCTTCCTGTTCGGCCTGATTGTCCATTGGTGAGATTTGATGCCTTCTTGGAAAATTTTTTGGTCACTCTTTATTATTAATTTCAGCTGAGCCTTGTAGATTGGATTCATTGGAAGACTGGACTACCAGAAGGGTATTGACCAGATTCAGTTGGCAACTCCGGAGCTCTTGGAAGATGATATTCAATTTGTAAGTTTTTTTTGGTTATTACTATATCAACCCATCTGCTGTGGCAAGTATTCAAATCCGTGAGAATGAATAAAAATAAAAAATCAGCTTTTGAATACCAATAATTTCATTTTTGTGTATACAGTATAATAAATACCCTAGAAATCTAACTAACAGGTGTATGGAAATCTCTGAGGAATAAGTTCTGATTTTGTTTTTTTGGCCTCCTTATTAGGTTTCCAATATCTATTTATATTTCCTTTTTAAATACGAGTAATCATTGTTGACATTTTCAGGTTATGCTTGGTTCAGGAAACCCTAACTATGAAGACTGGATGAGAGCAACAGAGTCAACTTATAGGGACAAATTCCGGGGTTGGGTTGGATTTAATATTCCAGTTTCTCATAGAATAACCGCAGGGTGATCCAAAATTTTCCAATTCTTTAATTGAAAATTTGCAGGTTTATTTTTGTTTTGTTACTTGTTTCTACCTCAATTATGATTCTTACTGTATTAGTGGTATGAACAGCTGTGACATACTATTGATGCCATCTGCATTTGAGCCCTGTGGGCTAAATCAGATGTATGCGATGAGATATGGAACTATACCGGTGGTTCATGATACTGGAGGGCTAAGAGTAAGTGAAGAAAATGGTTGCAAATGGACGTTTACCATATAATTTATATGCGCTCACTCCTTTCTCTTTGCTGTTTTACAGGATACTGTACAAAATTTTAATCCATATGCTGAAGGAGGCAATGGTGATGGTACAGGGTATGTTGTTCATGAACTTGGATGTTTTTCTTCCTCTAATCTTCTCCAAAAAGATTTGATTGTTTTATTTTAGTAAACTTGATAACTCAATTGACCTCCAGGCTGCGGATGGTAAATAAGCATAGCAATGGGGTTGATGTCTAAAGGATTTTGAAGAGTTTATGACAACTATGTCTCGTCATGTTTAAACTTGTCATTGCAAATTAAGGCTGTGACATTTTCATCTAGTTATGCAGATGGCTTTGATTTTTGTCAGTTCAATCTATGTTCATATCGTAAATAAGCTAGAATTTCTTAGTGGCATGTATAATTTCATGCAAAAGAATGGATACGAGGATGAGATAAAAGCTAATATGCTGTCTGAACTTCCTGGAGCATGCTCAAAAAGGAACAAAATTTTAGATTACTTCTTTCTAGGTGGAGATGGCTTCTCGCAGTGATCATCACTTACGAAAACATTGTTCTCTGGTGTGAGCTTTGAATTCAGGGGCCAGTTTGTTTAAACCAAAAAAAAAAAAAAAAAGGTCATTTTAGTTGGGGAAGTAAGGAAGAGCCGGGGGAGGGGGGGACATTCATTGTTGCCGTGTTTTAGCCTTTGGGCATTGTCAATGCAATGATATGAGGCATTTTCACATAATGTTATTTATGACATTGTTATGAACTGTACGAACAGGTGGGCATTTTCTCCTCTGACAAAAGAGAGCATGTTAGTGGTAAGCTTATTGTCTTTGTGCGTGTCATTCATTTCTATGGGAACAGATTCTTTGTTGATCTTCCCATCATTCACTTCCTTGTTTTGGAGCGTCGGGCGTTGATGGTTCTTGTTTTCAAACTTTGACAGGCACTGAGACACGCCATTGTAACATATAGAGAACACAAAACTTCTTGGGTGGGTTTGATGAGAAGAGCAATGACGAGGGACTCCACATGGGAAAGTGCTGCTGCTCAGTACGAACAAGTCTTCGAATGGGCATTCATTGATCCTCCTTATGTTTCCTGATGAGCATAGATAAACAGAAACAATAAGCACAGGTCCATGCCACTTGCCTTTTATGTTGATAGGAAGCTATTTCTGGAGATTTCCACGTATCTTACCGATATTGCCTTGTATTTAGGTTAACGAGACCTCAATTTTGGTTTTACATTTTGTTGCATTTATTTATTTTTTTAATTATTATTTTTTAAATTTGCAACTGTTTCATGCGGTTTCCTATTGTTACTATTTATAAGCTGCTGTAGTGTCATATTTATTATCTATGATTGTTATCGATTTTGTACTTTGAAGATTTCTAAAAATAGTTGATACGTGAGTCATGACTCATGAGGATATATGGAGGGGCTCAGAATTATGAGCCAATAATTTGCACGGCGTAGCGTTCTCGCTTCAAACCGCAGTAGGGACCAAGGAGCCCCGTCCAACAACCAGAATGAAATAAACGACTGGGTAATTTAAAAAGAAAAATTGAAGAATGTCATATTCAATGGAGGCATCATGCCATCATCCATGTTCCTACCCACCAAAATAAAATAATATTTGTATCATTATACAATAACATTTACAAGAAGTTTTATTGTTTATAAATTATAAATATTAGGCCAAAAAATAAATTATAAATAATTTGCGTAACAAACGTAAAGATATATTTAGTTATTTTGATAATAAATAATGATGCAGAGGTCAGATGCTTATTGCCGAATGCTGGCCCCCCATTGCCATTAAGTAACGCGAATTGTTTTTTTCGCTGACGCATGGCCAGCTGCAGCTTAATTTTTTTAATGAAAGAAAGTGTGTGTTTAAAGCGAGAATTATAGTAAAGTCTTAGGAAAAAAATTAATTATTAATAAATTATCTGTTATCACTGTGATTTTTTTAGTAATTATATTTACTAAGTTACTTATATTCCTTAAGTCAAGTTTTTTAATTATATATGGATAAATATTAGCATTTAATAACATTTAATAATAAATCTACATAAAACCCAAAAAAAGGACATATGTTCTTGCTTGATCTAAGTTTTTTTTTATTTTGTACTTCATTACAATTCTCCCATATTTAAATTTGATTGCTTATTGACCCAAAAAAAAAATGCGATCGCTTCATCGATACGGTGTTTTTTTTAATCTAAAACGTACAATTGAAATTTTAGACTTCAAAATTGTGCTTTATTTCATAATTGATTATATAATTTAAGCTATGAAATTTTAATATCGAATCATTTAAAATTTTAATCATGGATTATCTTCTTTTTTTCGAATGAATAATCTTTTCTCGTTTATAATTAACTACTAACATTTTATCAGTATTAATTTCTTATTTTTATGTGAGATTCTCAGAGAATACATTCAATTATTAGTCAGACAGGTCATAAAACAATTTATTTTGAAAATATCGCAAAGATCCAATACTATCCCGATTACCTGGCATGAGAGCGTACATCATCATTCAAATAAAATAACCACCTGGGTACCAACTTAACAAAATAATTATTTCTTCCCGGCAAGTACTTCCCTTCTCCAATTCATTTCATTGTTAGATCCCATTTTTATTTACTGCCAAAAACTGCAACTATGGCGGATTTACATTTGTATATTTATCATTGGAAATAAATTTTCGTAATTTCAGGTTCTGAAAGAGATAGTCTAGCGTGCGCGCAGCCAATCCCTGCTCCGATCTCTTTCCTATTTCTGCTTCAGACGGCTCTTCTAACCAAGATTTTCATCTCTCTTGCCTTTTCTTTCCATGTCAAAACCCTAAGAGTTCAGCTATAAATAATGGTACCCAGTTTCCGGGGAAGAAGATCTAACCATGAGGGGTTAGTGATTGAGGATTCCCTCTGGATCGATTCATGTTCCTCCAGAATGCTTGCAATTTCGTCGAAAGTTTCGAATTGCTTCTGCTAGCTTCCGTTAAAATTCCTTGTATTCTAGCTTCTGAAGATTTCTGTTTCTGTTCCCGATCTTTCAAATGATTTCGAATCCCAACTTCATCTATTATGCCTGCATTGCTAGAGGAAACACAGTCCTCGCTCAATATAGGTCCAAGGAACCGAAGATCGAAGAGTTAGCTGCAGAATGCCTTGCCAAAACCCCTCTCCACCATTCCATCTTCTCTCACACTGTCAAGAAAAGGACTTACACGTTTGTGATTCATGAACCTTTTGTCTATTTTGCGATATTTGATGAAGAGCTCCTGAAGTCAGAGGGTTTCTGGTTCTTGAATCGCATCAAGAGCGTGCTTGATGAGGTATTGAACGGCGGGTTGATCATGGGTTCGGAAGATTTTACTCCCCTTTGTTTCCAATCACAATTTGATCCCTTCTTTCGCAAAACATTGGCTCTGGATTTGAATTCGGATTCGGATTTGGACTCTCTAGATCCGCAGCGGGGCGAGGACTCGGACAGCCGAAACTCCGGCATGGATTCTGTCCAAGGGAAGAGATCGGCGATGGCCCCCTTGCTTGCGATGCCTGGGTTGAAGAAGAAGAAGAGGGTGAACACGGAAGCCAATGATATGGATGTGAAAAATGGTGCAACGGAGAACAAGGTGGATTTGTGTGATTGCTTAGATGGTTTTGCCAGAGATTTTCCATTTCCAGGACCCAACAAGAGCGTGATCAACGATCGACAAAAAGCAAAGCAAATATGGAAGAAGCATGTGTGGGTGGTTCTGATGCTGGATGTATTTGTATGTGCAGTTTTGTTTGTGATATGGTTATGGGTTTGCAGAGGGTTCAAGTGCATGGATAGATGAATCCAAGGAGACTGAAATAGCCTCTTTTTTGTCCCTTGTTTGGGGATTGTTCACTTGTTTCCTTCCAAGTTCCTTTTGAAGACCATGAACTGCAGAGCCAAACTGTGTAAATGGGAAAACGGGTATATATGTATGTATGTGGAATTGGGGGTTTGGGTTTGCTTCAGCTCATTTTTGATTTCCTCTTGGAAATTTCCCCACTGAAGGGAAACGATTTATGAATGAATATGTGAAGATTTACTAATTCATCTTGTTCTTTCTGTTCTCATACCCTTATTTGACTTTATTGAATGATTAGAGACAAATTCTAAGAAATTGCCTGTAATAGGCATGTAGATAGACAAAGCAGTTAAGTCGTTGTTGTTCGTGGCTCCCTAATGGAGGTCAACGAGTGCTTTTCCTTCTGCAAGAAGATAATCTGCGAGAGGATCGTTATCTCAGAAGCTACCTGTTGTGAATATGCATTTTCTAAGGAGGGAACCAATAGTGTATATGAATACACCAAAAGCTTCACTGAAACGTTCTTCCCTGCAAAATCTTCAATCTTCGCAGTTTACTTTCTTGTTCAGTCTATTATTTTGGGTATGATTGAATAACCAAGAGCTGACTGCCTCGGGATCATTTGAAGCATTTCCTGCTAGATGATGGTGACCTTATGGATAGGCAGATTGAGAACAACAGGGTAATTTTATTGCCTACTAACCATATTTAATAATGTTACTAAAATAGTGATAATTGAAAGGCGGCATGTGATCGAACCATGAAAATTGGAGGAACGTGAATTGATGTAAAATAGTGATAATTGAAAGGCGGCATGTGATCGAACCATGAAAATTGGAGGAACGTGAATTGATGTGGAAGGAAAGGACGTCAGGGGAAGAAGGGAGGCGGCGGGGATAAGAACGAAGAATGTGGTCGGTGAGGTAGGGCCCACACAGTTGAAGCTGGGGAGCGCACATGTTGAGGCTTGCGCGCTCTCAGATCTCACTAAGCCCCCCAATCATTCGCACGACACAGCTCACCAACCCCCGCTCCGACTTTCTTGCCATCTGGTTTTTCCCCCCCCCCCCCCCAAAAAAAAAACTTCTTGTTACTACTTCCCAAAGGGAACCTCCTCCTCCTCTTTTAGGGTGAAGAGAAATATATAAATATCACATTTTCGTACTTTCATTTTTTTCAAAAACTTTGTATTGTTCATATAAAATTTAAATGGTCTATTTTTTAGTATCTTTCATTAGAGTTTTAAAATCTCAACATTTTTTCAGAATTAAATATCAAATTGTTTAGGTTCAACGTAAAGGTTAGAGAATTAGACATTATGAAAATAACTTCAAAAAAGAAAGAGAAGATTAATGAACAACGTAATAAGAAAATGGAAACTACAACTAATAATACTTGATAAAAAAATATTTAAACTTGCATTATTTGAGCTGAGGAGAACATGAAGCTGAAGATGAGATGTCTTGCTTTTGTAACCAAGAATGTAACCCTTTTTTATGAGCACAATTCCAGCTACAACCAAGACATTTATTTCGAAATGTCAAGCACAGCATGCGAAAGAAACAAAAAACACGCACTCTTGAATACATTCGCGGTAGAAAATTAGTCCCCGAAGCTCTGTATGGACTGTCACCTCTTGTAAATGACAATTGTTGAAAAGCTACTTGCACAAAAATCACAAAGAAACAACACCGAGAAAGCATACGATTATACATGTACTCAAATAAATATCTTCTCATACTAAGCATCTGACTAGACAACTACAAAATCTGATTTCAATACAATCAACGGTTTATCATACATAAACCCACTATTCATTAGCCATGCATGCAACATGAATATAATTACTACCCCTTAACCACATGGGGTAAGCTTCTTATTGCCCGCACCTCGAGGATTATCATCCTTCCAGTCATCCCAGGCTCTTGCCTTCTCCTGCGCAGCGTCATCATCTTCATCTTCTTCTTCTCCTGGCCTTGACTTCCTATCATTATGCCAAGATGAATTGGCTTCTTCCATGAGTCTGGCATTTCTCTCTTGCCATTTATTCATCATCTCCATTTCTCTAAGCCCAGCTTCCTCAATGCTCATGGTTGGCATCCTTCCACAAAATATTCAACTTAGCATCTCAAAAAAGAGCTGAGAGCAACCAGGAATATATGAAGATCCATACTTAATCTAAAACAACGATGTTTCATGAAATTCTTCTACAACACTTTTATGATTATTTAAACCATTTCTCTTCAATATTCTGACAAGATATTCAACCTTATGGAAAAGGGGCTACTAATTCTCCCTCCATCAAAAGCCACGCATTTTTCTAGAGGCATTCTGTGTTTTAAAAATCCTTTAATATCCTTATTCCCAAGTTTCACGTTTAATCTATCTAAAAGACCATAAATCTATACCTATAACCAGGCTGGAAAACCCTAGCTGCCATTCTTTCCCTCTCACTTGTCAGGCTTCCATTCACAAGGCTGGCAGGTCCAAATATTAACGGTTGGTGTTTGTGATCATGCGCCTGGGAAACATTTGCTCTTCCTTCTAAAACATCTTGAGCAAAAGTGGCACAAGTGATTGGCATTGCTGGATTAGCATACTTTGCACGAGCTGCAGAATCACGATGCCAGGCTTCAGCTTTTTTGGCACGTTCATCAAGAATGTCTTGAGAGAATTCCTTATCTCCATCCTAAACCATGTCAAAATCAAAAGAGACAATCAAGACCTATGGGAGTCAGCAAAACATCTGAATAGCCCATTCCTCCCTGAAAACAAACATATTCATTTATTTATGTATGCTTAAAAAGCCAGAGAGCAAACACCGTGCAATGTTCCGTCAAAAGAAAGCAAAAAAATTCTATGATCACTAGATGAACCTGTTTCGTAACTTCTATACGTGTTGTCGTCACAGGAGTTTTAATAAGTGCTCGTTTAAACTACTTCCAAACAAAAAGTTTTAATCCAAAAGGCATTCGTAGGGCATGCTAACAAAGCTTTCAGTGTATACTGTATATCATTATCAAACATGAACACAGTGCATCTAGGTATGCTTTAGAACTAGCATGCACCAAGAATTGTACCACCTTAGATTGTCTCTCCTTTATAGCAGAAAGCACCTCTTCTTCTTTCTTTAACATTTCCAGCAAATCCAATGCCTGAATGGCATGAAAATCATGAGCACGCTGCATATAGAAGTTTCAATTAAGGAAACTGTAGCATAACTATATAACCAACCTTACAGATTGCCAGAGATATGGTTGTAAGCCAAGCCTGCAGAAAGCAAAGTTAATGGTACAATGAGCAGCTGTTACATGCATGACAACGATGCTGAACCTGAGCAACAGACCAACAAACAGACAATTTTGGGCCTAATACTTGTTCAACGGCCAAGAAGCTTCAAGCAATTTTGGCTATACATTTAAAAGAGCTTTCAGCATCTTTTCAGTCCCAGCCCATGCACAGCACGAAGCCCAAGCCCAAATTGAGCAAATTTCTCATGTGCATTAGAGGACATGAAGTCCGAAGAAATCAAAATTGCATAAGAATTAACTCCAGACAAATTCCCCTACCTTTGACGCATTAAATTTAGATGTGGGTGTGTTTCTATGTAACATTAAAAGTCCTTTGCAGAAAAACAAGTGGGTGGTTTGCTATTTTCTTGTCAGACCATATTATCAGTGCCATGTTCTAGTCTATTTGCTATTGAGCTAGACATAATAATGTGTAGAACACTTTTCAATACCCCGAGAGTAGTTCTGGAGACCTTTACCACCTTCCAACGCAAGTTTACAAAATTAAATACAGACAATAAGATCTTGCTCAAAAAACTTGACCCAAAAAAAAAAAAATTTCACCCCGGTACTGTTCTTCCAAATTAGGTCCTTCTTATTCCTCTCAGCTTGACAAAATGAAAGATATTTAGGCAAAAGAACCCTCATGCATGTTATATGGCTCTTGTTTAACAAATTATAAAACCTAGAAAAGGAGGTGCCGAAAGTTAGACTTGGCAAATACACAAGTAAAAATTATCCAAAATGCTACCAAACATTATTACTTCGAAATAATATATAAGCCATTTCTTCAAGAAGATTTGTTTCATTGGTGGGATCCAACCATATATTATGAATGAACTAACAAAGTAGAGAAAGAGTCAGTAACAACAGAACAGCTGCATTGCCAGATAGCGGCTAAAGGATCAAGATGCAAACCTCTCTTTCTTCTTCTCCATCATCATCCAGTACTTCTTCCTCTCCTGCCTCAACAGGAGTGGACAATGCAGCTGCTTTTGTAGAACGTCCACGTCGCTCCTTCCGTTCCTTTATCTCCAACAACTTAGACTCTGCAGCTCTCTGACGCTTAAATCGAGCAATCTACCCAATGGGATTCAAAATAAGTAACAATCAATTGTAAGCTTTTATTCTCCAACATAACACAAAGCAATTTTTTTAAAATTTGGTGGTCCCATTTCCATTTCCAAGACAGAGAAGGTTTTGGATGCAAACTTGCAATATCTGAACTTTATGAGGAAATGTTTTAAATATAAAAAAGGAAGCAAAATGGAACCTTTCTAGCCCTTTGGTCTGCAACAGATTTTGCCACCCCTTGAATATAAGATTCTAACTCATCTTCAGGTACAAGCTCCATTGCCTCACAAAATGCGATAAATTCCTACAAAAGGCGCTGTGTTAAATTACTTTTGATTGAATGACAACAATTAAAAAATGGGTGTCGGAACATATCCAATAATAATAATGCAAATCATGCTAAAATGCTGTATGATTATTTTGCCCCACTGATGGGTAAGTACTAACCTTTATTTTGGCCTGGGTAGCCACAAGAATCTGAATCCTGTCATCCTGAGCTATTCTCTCAGTCAACTCAGCAAGATAAAAAGGTACCTAAGGAAGTTTCCATGAAAGTTTAATTTAAAAAAAAAAAAAAAAATCATCGATCCCACTAAAATTAATACCCCTACCAGCTTAGTCCCTTAGTAATTATCAAAATGCAGGCCTTAAAAGTGAAATAAATATTTTTTTTAAGCTATGAATATGCCTAAATTTACTGCATGCATGCATATCCTGAAGCTCAGTAGAAATAGCCATGGAATATTATGTTGTAATCGAATAATTGAAAAAAAAAAAAAATCACTGACATGGTTTTTCTTCTAATTTGCCAGTACTTATTGTTCCACTTTCTTTTAGAACATATTGACGAAGCATTTATATTCCATGTGAATAGTGAACACCAAATAAATATAATTTGTAATCTACTATTAACTGTTTTCAGCGTACTTTTACTCCAAAAGGAAAGCCTTCATTGTCCATGGGGTAATATATAGTAAGAAAATAACCTGCATAACCTTCCTTCTTTTCTGGGTGAATGCAATCATTCAAACAAGAAATCTGGATGGCACTAAGACACAAAGTTTGGTTTTCAGGGTCTTGTCAGGTTTGCTTCTCAATCATGAAATAGATAGCTAGAGCAATATGGAGCTCCCTAAAATTTGAACTATCCTTAGTCACGGCGATATGATCCTTCAATTTGGCTTTAGACAGAACAAATTCCAACATCACATGTTGGAAACACATAGCCCATTCTCCTTGTCTTTTGTTTCATTTTTTATTTACCGTTAGATACTTATACATGCCATCCCAATTCCGGATTGTGTTATATTCATAACACCAAATTCACGTCAATCTTACACCTCCTTTTCACATGCGATATTAATTACAAACAGTTACTTTTGTTATTTTGCATTGAACCAATGATAAGTGTAAAATAATGTGAGGACGATTGCCTGAAATACTATTTCTCTGCCGGAAAAAATAGTAATAACAATTTCCTTTGACGCACGGGGGTTCGCTTTCTATAAGTTTACAACTATAGAGATCTAAATAGTCAAGACGGGTGAGTATCACTCCGTCGTCTCCTTCTTCCTTGCTGTCTTCCATGTTCCCGACGTGCATACCCAACATTGAAATAATTTCAAAATAACATGAAGAGAAGCAAGATTCACAGAGCATGGGAATCAATTGCAAGAGGGGAAACACCTATACACGCTACAAAAGTAAAGCAACCATTTGACCAATCATTTAGACGAAAAATAAAATCCAGAAAACAGTTATTTGGCTGATTTAATCAAATCAACATTGATCAGTTACACTGGAAATAATAACTGAAGAAAATAATTACCAGAGAATACTTGAGATTCGTTGTACTGATATCATCTTTGGTCTCATTTGCTGAGAATAAACCCAGCTTATTTATCATATCCTCGCACTTCTCCAGAGCCTCGCATCCCTTCCTCACAAGCTCCTGAATAAAACCCATAAAAATTAACACCTCCAGGGAAAATTATGCGCAAACTCAATTAAGCAGTGACACGAAGAATCAAACGAGCGCAAAAGCGTACCTGGTCGGCCCCAGACTCCGTCACAGTCGTGTGGATCTTCCGAGCTTGTTCAAAGAGAGCGGGCAACGGAAGGTCCTCCATGATGCACTCGCCCATCACCTAATCAGTTCAGCAGAAAGAAAACCCAGAAACGAATATCCAAGATTTGCGATTCTCTCAGATTTCTAGGGATGACAAACTGAAAATTTCAGCTTCAGAGGTTTTTGGGCAAATCGGAAGCTATCGTTTGATTGACGATGGCTGAGATGGAAAATTCTAGAAAAAAGGTCGAGAATGGTTGATTCGCCAGGAGATTACGAAGGCAGAAAGCAACCGCGATCAAGGTGCTCCCGGTGGCGAATGGGGAATTAAATGAAGACTACAGACGTTCTAGAGAGTTAATATTTTTATAGAAGATTATTAAAATCAATCGCGGAATTCTTTTTAAGATCTAAACTGGTATTATTTTACTCTGCAAACTATGCAAGTGAAACAATAACAATAACATTTAGTATCATTAATATTAATCTTAAATATCAATGAGTTATTACTCTATTTTTAAATATAAAAGTTAACTAGATAATTGATTTTAGTACTAAATATAAGATGTATTTAAATTTTTAAACACATCACTCAGACTTCTAAATCCCTATCTAACATTAATTTTCTTATCTTATTATGACATATTTCAGCTGGAAATATTATTACCTGATACTTAATATAAGAGTTAGTTGACTAATTTAAGTAGATTAAGAAATTTTATTAAGTTATTTATTTATATTAAATAGGTGTTACATTTTCTAAATATCCTTATTTATCATGTATATTAGTTTGAACTATCACTTGATGAGACATTTAAAATATGCAATTACTATTAGGTCTACTTTGAAAAAAAATGAATAAATATGATAGACAAAGTGGATTGACATTTATATTTATAACCAAATTAAAATCAAACTAACTATTGTATTAAAAATTAGAGATAGTGGTCAAATTTTTTTTTAATAAAAATCTTATTTTACTTTTTAACATTAATTTTCATACCGGGCCCTAAATTGTCAATCTCCCCCCTATGCCTTCGAAGATTAAATATTTTAAATTTTTTTAGTCAACATGGTCTCACAATGAAAGGCATGCACAATTACTTGTTGAAATAATCACTATAGTGATTCTCTCCTTTAACCAAAATGTTCGGTGACTGAATTAAACAATTATTGTCATCTTCTATCTAGTCGTGTATAAACATAATTAATTTATATTGTTAAGATTTTTGCAAATAAAGTTTTCGGTGGTATCATTTTAACATTGTAAACATTTATGATTTATGGCTTTAGTAATCAATAGAAGATAAAAGGATTGAACTGAAAAATATCAATGTATATACATAATTTCGAGTCACATACATACACGTTCACAAATTTTGATGTAAAAAAAGAAAATAACAGTTTAGGAGTTGGGGATTCTTTGTAGTCTGGGAGGAACATTCCGAGGTGATTTTCTATCTCTGCGATGCGAAACGGCGGCACAGGCTGCATTATTCCGCTGATTCTTTCTCCATTCCCATGGCTCCTCAGGATCAGGAGAAGCCCATAATCCAGCCTGCTTTACTCTTGCTTCTTCTTCCCACTACGTACCATACAAAATAATGCAAAGTTACTAAAAGATGAAAAACATAGCAAAACTCAAAACAAAAACAGATTAAACAGAAAGTTAAGAGGTTTTGATAGTATATGATTCGTTACGTACATTTTTTAATTCTGTTCTCTTATCATAGTGAGAGTAATACCATGCAAATCCTTTCTTCAGCATCAATTCCTTATTAATTAATAAAAAAATAACAAGAAATGTTAGCTAGGTGGCTGTTTAATTTTTATATAACCAGACAAAAACAAGCTATAACGTGAATGTGAGTGAAGAAAATACCTGAACAAAGATGTTATTGCAGTAGATATCTCCGACAAAGCGTCCATAACAGTCTATTTCATAAATAAGAATCCTCAGGGATTTTCCTTGAACAATCCTAGTCAATTCTTCTGTTGCTTCTTTGCCGTATGGCATTTCACTTTCTGGCGCATCAATACCCCTAATTTCATAATTCAAGACATATGTGTCGGTGTCTTACTCATCATATGTGGCACAACAATAATATTTGAATAATTAAAAAACATAATATACCACTTAAATCATCATATATTCTGCTTTGACTTTATTAGGTGCCTATATTGACAAGTTTTGTACAACTACCTTCTCTATTTCTCATATATATGGCCACTGACTAATGGGAATGCCCTCATCATTGCTAGTTGGTTTTAATTAAAATGAACAACGTGATCAAATAGTAATTTTAAAAATAAGACGGAGGCATGTGGAGTATAACTTTTAATTTTAGAGGAGGTTTGGGTATGTAAGCGGCAAGTCTTTAAAATAAAAGAGAGATTTTTATAATTAAGACAAGAGAGAGGGGTGGTCATTATAATTTAATCTAATTTATATTTAATTATTACCTTAAACGTATTCTATACTTGCGTGCAAGAACTTCCTCATTTTGAATCCTAATCACACTGAACAATATATAATAAAAGCGAACTTTATTAGTAAGGCTCATCTTGACAATCATGAAGAACACAAACATGCATTTTAGAATTAAGAATTGTAATACCAACCGGTATCCAGAATTGATGATTTCTTGATGAAGGACATTGGCCTCTGCATAATTCCTCAAGGCTCGAGCTTCATTTCTTTTAATATTTGCTTTAAGCACATGGCTAGGGACACAAGAAATTTCTTGAGGGTCTAATGCCCGAACATAAACAGTTATGGTATCACCGTCAGCCACTGCTCTTCCATCAACCTAAAGACAAAAATATACGATTGTTTATAAGATAATGATTATTAAGGTTATAATTTGAATTATCAAATTAATGTAACAATAAATATCAGTATTATGAAAGAAATGAGGTTCTTCTTACAGGCAAGGTATGCAGTTCAAGTTTGACTCCTTTTGGTAAGGATTTAGTGGCCTTCCTGTTTGCATCTACTATGGTGTGTGGCTGAGCAAGACCATAGAAACTCAACAGTTCCTTTCACATTAAAAGGACCAAAATTTTAGCACATACGTCACTTGATGAGTTTAATGCAATGATGAAAAACAAATTAATTATATACCTCAACTTCAGCCTTTAGATGTTCTTCGAGGGCCTTATTGATGACCTGAGATACTTCTTTAGGAGTGTGACGAACTTGTTCAGAATTTCTCCATGCATCCATCAGTTTTCTAAACCTGCATCATTTGATTTTTTTTTTCTTTTTTTCAGAAACCAAAAGGAGTTTGAATAAGCAGTTTCAAATCCCTGAGATATGAAAAAACAAATTGTGAAACTGTGGGCAAGGTCGATCATTACCAGATAATCTGAGTTGCCTCCGATGACAAAACATGTTTTCCTAGTCCTTCAGAAACCTTAATGGGAACAAAACAAAGTTAATTAGTTATACTATATAAGAGTCCATGATAAATTTACAAAAGCACTTAAAAGATCCCACCTATTTACACAAACACATACACATACCTGACAAGTGTGATAAAATTGAAAGAGGTCTTGGCCGAGGACAAGGACGGCGTTGGATGAAGGGCGTCGTTGAGAGGAAGACGAATGAAAAGTATGAACCGTCGGAGGCTTAGGCTCGAAGTAGCCGGGGAAGTTCTGGCACCTTAAAATGCTTCCGGCAGCCATCGATCTCTATGATCACGATGAGTCTTTTGCTTCTTCTTTTTTTGAAGGGAGCCTGAATATGATATTTACAATTTACGGTTATTTTTTTCTAATGCAATTAGCGAAGGAAAGAGAATTACTATATGTGGATTCGCTTCCTTTAATTATTGCCAAATGATCGTCTAGTATATCTAAAAATCAAGATTTATTTTTATTTTTTGTGAAAATATTTTAAATCATCAATACTCTATTAATACTTGAATTATATCTCCCGGACGCCTGAAACAAATTCTCTATTAATCTATGAAAATTCATACCTTATATATGGATTACGTCCTGTAACGATACAGAATTGTTTTTATTTATTTCTCTGAATATTGATTGCTCCCACAAATGTACCGGATCTATGAGTAATTCAGAGTCATGCCTACAAAGGGGATGCGTTTTTTAATTAATAATTTAAATAACAAAGATAAATTAAATCATATAACGAGAACAAATAGAAAATATAAAAATAAAAATGAGAGAAAACTAATTATAAGGAGAATTACTTTAAGTTAGAGTTCAGCATTCGTCGTCCTATAAGTTGCTATTGAAAAATCAATCATAGGTATAAAGAAAAGTTTCAATATATCAGGGAGAATCCTTAAAGCACCTAAAATAATGGTTGGGTGATTCCAGGGGTAATTCCAGAGCCTTTATTTATAATCTTTCTGACACAACATTAGAAAAAAATGATACGAAAAAGTTTTTGATCTTGATTTCAAGATGCTTCGCGATCTCCAAAAATTCCAGAAAGTATTCTTGAAGCACTTAAAATAGTGTGTAAGAAAATATTTTTATCAATTTATGTTGGCCTTGTTTTCTTATTAATCCGGCCATCTAAATATCAAGATTTCATTTTTTCCCCAAAATATTTGAATATCAACAAGTAATCTATTAATATTTGAATTATATGTATCTTGTTAAACAAATACTCTATTAATATGTGAAAATTCTTACCTTACGAATTACGTCCCGCAACGTTATGCAGAATTTTTTAATTTATTTCTCTGAATATGAACACTGGCTGCTTCCACAAGTGCAGGGGGACTGAGGATTTTAGAGTTGTACCTATAAGGAGGTTGTGTGTTTACTAATTTGCATAATTAATAATTTTGGAACAAAAAAGATAAAGTAAATCATATAATCAGAATAAGTAGAGAATATAAAATTAAAAACAAGAAGAAAAAAAAACATTATAAGGTGAATACGTACAATGACTCCAAGCATTATGGTTCAAAATTCTTCTTATTGCTGGTTTCTATCCTCCAAAAACACAATCACAAGAATACAAAGAAAAAACCTTAATGCTCTAAAAGTTCTTGCTCTTGCGGAATTTGCGATGAGTTCTTACCCTTGATTTTAAGATATGCCTCGTAGTCTCCAAATATGTCAGAGAGAATTCTTGAAGTTCTTGAAATATTTGTTGAATGATTTTAGGATAGAGACCCTCTATTTATAATTTTTCTGATGCAATATTAAAAAAAAATGGAATGAGTAGATTCTTTTTACTGAAATTGTGGCGGAAAAAAAGGATTTTGCAGCAAAATTTTTGACAGGAAAATATATAAAAATTAATTAAATATGCATTAAGAATTTATAAATTTAACCAAATGTAGGTCAAAATGTCTGCCTACTTAACTATAAACCTGTCAAACATGTTTTTTTGGGAAAAAAAATCGGAATAGTCTCTAAGGGAGGCTTTTCGAAGAGAATCATTTTAATTAATTGAGAGGGGAAAATAAAGTTTGGAGATAAATTATAATACTTCGTGCGAAAATCAGTATAAGAAAAAAATGATATATAGGTGGCACATAAAGATTTCCTCAAATTTTATCTATTAAAAACTAACTTGAGTGAAAAATAAGTCTATTACTATCAGGGAACTAATTCAGAAACTTTATTCTTTTAACAAAATAACTGAAAATAAGTGAATCATTTAATAACGAAATCATTGACCGACATTTTGTGTTTTCTCCCATCAAGTTCTACTGTACTTTCTAGATATTCTAGATATTGAGGGGTGCCTGGTATAATGATGATAGTAGTAGTAATAATAATAATAATGCCAATCTGTTATAAATTTTATTATATATATTAATTTGTTATAAATTTTATTATATATATTTATATTAATTCGGTGATTTATATATTAATAGGTAAGCAACTGACTTAATTATGGTCACATATGCATTGCTCACGTGACTAGAGAGAGGATGTGATAATGTGGGGTTGGCAACTTTTTAGAAATAAACTTAATAGTTCTTATAACTTTAAATATTTTAATTCTTTTCATAATTTAAAAATTTGTAGCTGGAATCTCATACTTTATTAAATTTTCAACAAAATTTCTATTGTTCAAACTTGTACATATTTAATTATTTATAGCATTTGATTGATATAACTGATCATGTATTATCTCCATGCTAAAAGCGAGTTATAAGTACGCACGATTTTGATAAGCGTTGTTCTAAATACATATAATTTTTCAATTTAGGTATGTGTAATATTTGGAATCCATAAATAATTTGTAATTTTGTTAAAAATTGTTTATTACAAAATTTTGCTTTTTTTTTATTATTGCGATGTGATTTCCAAAATGAATATCTTTTTCAAATGAAGAAGTACCAACATTTAATGCTTGAAAGGATTACCTCCCATGAGAGAATACATATACATAGCCAAAAAAGGATATTAATATTAATGATGTATAATTAGTATATATTCATCTTCTAGGTTCTTTCTCCATTCTTGTGGTTAGAAAATTTATCTGAAAATGTGAAAAAATATTAATGATCTTATATAATCTTTTAACAATGATTGTAAAAATAAAAAGTCAAAGAAATCAAGAGGTATTTTTTATATTTAAAAATAAAGAAAAAAATAAAGTACAGAAAAAAGTTTTTTTTTTAAAGGATTTGTTGAATAACAAAATGTGCCACGTCAACTTTGGGAAATGACTCAATGAGTTATATACTAATTACAGCGTATTACAATTTATTAGGATTTTTATTTTTATTTTAATATTGATTACATTTTCCAAAACTTAAAAATATCCTCACATTAATTTATTTTTTGAAGTTGATTTAATGTTTTTTTTTCGGTTACTGATTTAATGTTTTTAAAGGTAGAATTTTTCATTTTGTATCTGAAACTAGCTAATATAATTAGGCTAAAGGATTCGAGAACAACTAATTTACTAGTATATCTGTATCCCAAAAAATAATAATAATAATAATAACAATTTACTTGTATATCGTCGTTTGACCCAGTCCACTTTTCTTTTTCCTTGTTGTCTCCAAAATAAAAGTTAGCCGGAGGTTTAGATTTGACCCTAACTGCAATCCACTTTTTTCATATATTTATTATTATTTTAAACTAATTATTAATATTTACGTCCTTAGTAATCAATAGAAGATAAAAGGATTTAACTCAAAATCTTCCATGCAAATATATAAAATCCACTTAAATTTCTAAATACATACTCAGACTTCTAGATCCCTGTCTCACACTAATTTTCTCATCTTGTAATGACCCAAGTCGTCGATCTCCCTTTCAAGATTTTTCTGCTGTAAATATTGGTCAAAATTCTTTTATTTTTAAATAAAAATCTTATTTTAACATTAATTTTCTTACCGGGACCTAAATTGTCATTCTTTTTTCTTTTTTACCAGCAGAACTAAATTGTCATTAGCCGGTATCCCCCATATGCCTTGGAAGATTGAATATTTTGAATTTTTTCAGTCAACATGGTCTGAAAATGGAAGACGTACACAATTACTTCTTGAAATAATCAGTATAGTGATTTTTGTTATCTTCTATCTATTCATATTATAAAGTATAAACATAATTTCTGTTGCTAAGTTTTTTGGAAATAAAGTTTTCGTTGGTATCATTTTAACATTGTAAACATTTATGATTTATGGCTTTAGTAATCAATGGAAGATAAAAGGATTGAACTGAAAAATATCAATGTATATACATAATTTCGAGTCACATACATACACGTTCACAAATGTTTGATGTAAAAAAAAGAAAATAACAGTTTAGGAGTTGGGGATTCTTTGTAGTCTGGGAGGAACATTCCGAGGTGATTTTCTATCTCTGCGATGCGAAACGGCGGCACAGGCTGCATTATTCCGCTGATTCTTTCTCCATTCCCATGGCTCCTCAGGATCAGGAGAAGCCCATAATCCAGCTTGCTTTGCTCTTGCTTCTTCTTCCCACTACGTACCATACAAAATAATGCAAAGTTACTAAACAGATTAAAAACATGGCAAAACTGAAAACAAAAACAAATTAAATACAAAATTAAGAGGTTTTGATAGTATATGATTTATTACTTACATTTTTTAATTCTGTTCTCTTATCATAGTGAGAGTAATACCATGCAAATCCTTTCTTCAGCATCAATTCCTTATTAATTAATAAAAAAAGGAAAAAGAAATGTTAGGTGGCCGTTTAATTTTTATATAACCAGACATAAACAAGCTATAATGTGAATGTGAGTGAAGAAAATACCTGAACGAAGATATTATCGCAGTAGATATCTCCGACAAAACGTCCATAACAGTCTATTTCGTAAATAAGAATCCTTAGAGATTTTCCTTGAACAATCCTAGTCAATTCTTCTGTTGCTTCTTTACCGTATGGCATTTCACTTTCTGGCGCATCAATACCCCTAATTTCATAATTCAAGACATATGTGTCAGTGTCTAGCTCTAGCAATTGAAAAACATGAGATACCACTTAAATCATCATATATTCTGCTTTGACTTAATTCGGTGCCTATATTGGCAAGTTTTGTGCCACTATCTTCTATATTTCTCATATATATGGCCCCTGACTAATGGGAATAACCTCATCATTGCTAATTGGTTTTAAATAAAATGAACAAACGTGATCAAATAAGAATTTTAAAAATAAGACCGGGGCATGTGGAGTATAACTTTTAATTTTAGACGAGGTTTAGGTACGCAAGTTTTTAAAATAAAAGAGAGATTTTTATAATTAAGACAAGATGGAGGGGTGGTCATTATATTATAATTCAATCTAATCTATATTTAATTATTACAATTTAATCTAATTTATATTTAATCATTACCTTAAACGTATTCTATACTTGCGTGCAAGAACTTCCTCATTTTGAATCCTAATCACACTGAACAATATATAATAAAAGGGAACTTTATTAGTAAGGCTCACTTTGGCAATCATGAAGAACGCAAACATGCATTTTTAGAATTAAGAGATTGTAATACCAACCGGTACCCAGAATTGATGATTTCTTGATGAAGGACATTGGCCTCTGCATAATTCCTCAAGATTCGAGCTTCATTTCTTTTAACATTTGCTTCAAGCACATGACTAGGGACACAAGAAATTTCTTGAGGGTCTAATGCCCGAACATAAACAGTTATGGTATCACCATCAGCCACTGCTCTTGAATCAACCTAATGGCCAAAATATACGATTGTTTATAGGAAAATGATTATTAAGGTTATAATTTGAATTATTAAATTAATGAAACAATAAATATCACTACTATAAAAGTAATGAGGTTCTTCTCACAGGCAAGGTATGCAGTTCAAGTTTGACTCCTTTTGGTAAGGATTTAGTGGCCTTGCTGTTTGCATCTACTATGGTGTGTGGCAGAGGAAGACCATAGAAACTCAACAGTTCCTTTCACATTAAAAGGACCAAAATTTTAGCATATGCGTCACTTGATCAGTTAATGCAATGATGAAAAACAACTTAATTATATACCTCAACTTCAGCCTTTGGATGTTCTTTGAGGGCCTTATTGATGAACTGAGATACTTCTTTAGGAGTTAGAGGAACTTGTTCAGAATTTTTCCATGCATCTATCAGTTTTCTAAACCTGCATCATTTGATTTTTTTTTTCTTTTTTTCAGAAACCAAAAGGAGTTTGAATGAGCAGTTTCAAATCCCTGAGACATGAAAAAAAAAAAATTGTGAAACTGTGGGCAGGGTCGATCATTACCAGATAATCTGAGTTGCCTTTGATGACGAAACATGTTTTCTTAATCTTTCAGAAACCTTAACAGAGACAAAACTAAAACTAATCAGTTATACTATACAAGAGTCCATTATAAATTTACAAAAACAATGAAAAGATCCCCACCTATATTTACACACACACATACCTGACAAGTGTGATAAAATCGGAAGAGGTCTTGGCCGAGGACAAGGACGGCGTTGGATGAAGGGCGTTGAGAGGAAGATGAATGAAAAGTATGAACCGTGGGAGGTTTAGGCTCGAAGTAGCTGGGGAAGTTTCTGGCATCTTAAAATGCTTCCGGTAGCCATCGATTTCTATGATCACGATGAGTCTTCTTCTTTTCTTTTGCCTTTTTTTTGAAGAGAGCCTGCATATGGTATTTACAATTACTATATGTGGATTCGCTTCCTTTAATTATTGCCAAATGATCCTTTAGTATATCTAAATATCAAGATTTATTTTTATTTTTTGTGAAAATAATTTAAATCATCAATACTCCATTAATACAATAATACTTGAATTATATCTCGCGGACGCCTAAAACAAATTCTCTATTGAGCTATGAAAATTCATACCTTATGGATTGCGTCCTGCAAAGATACAGAATTGTTTTTGTTTATTTCTCTGAATATTGATTGCTTCCACAAATGTACCGGATCTATGAGTAATTCAGAGTCGTGCCTACAAAGGGGATGCGTTTTTTAATTAATAATTTAAATAACAAAGATAAATTAAAGCATATAACGAGAACAAATAGAAAATATAAAATAAAAATGAGAGAAATTAATTATAAGGAGAATTACTTTGAGTTAGAGTTCAGCATTCGTCGTTCTATAAGTTGCTATTGAAAAATCAATCATAGGTATAAAGAAAAGTTTCAAAATATCAGGGAGAATTCTTAAAGTACCTAAAATAATGGTTGGGTAATTCCAGAGCCTTTATTTATAATCTTTCTGACACAATATTTAAAAAAAAATTGATACGAAGAAGTTTTTGATCTTGATTTCAAGATGCTTCGCGATCTCCGAAAATTCCAGAAAGTATACTGGAAGCACTTAAAATAATGTGTAAGAAAATATTTTTGTCAATTTATGCTGGCCTTCTTCTGTTATTAACCCAGCCATCTAAATATCAAGATTTCTTCTTCTTCTTCTTTTTTCCCAAAATATTTGAATATCAACAAGTAATCTAATAATATTTGAATTATATGTATCTGCCAGATGTGTTAAACAAATGCTCTATTAATCTGTGAAAATTCATACCTTACGAATTACGTCCTGCAACGTCCTGCAGAATTTTTTTAATTTATTTCTCTGAATATGAATATTGGGTGCTTCCACAAGTGCAGGGGACTATGAGTATTTTAGAGTTGTACCTGTATATAAGGAGGTTGTGTGTTTACTAATTTGCATAATTAATAATTTTGGGGAAAAAAAGAAAAAGTAAATCATTTAACCAGAATAAGCAGAGAATATAAAATTAAAAACAAGGGGAAAAAAACATTATAAGGTGAATACGTACAATGACTCGAAGCACTATGGTTAAAAATTCTTCTTATTGCTAGCTTCTATCTTTCAAAAACAATCACAAGAATACAAAGAAAAACCTCAATGCTCTGAAAGTTCTTGCTCTTGAGGACTTTGCGATGAGTTCTTACCCTTGATTTTAAGATATGCCTCGTAGTCTACAAATATGTCAGAGAGAATTCTTGAAGTTCTTGAAATATTTTTTGAATGATTTTAGGATAGAGACCCTCTATTTATAATTTTTCTGATGCAATATTAAAAAAAATGAAATGAGTAGATCTTTTTTTTTTAGTAAAATTGTGGCGGAAAAAAGGATTTTGTAGCCAAAATTTTTATCTTAGAATCGAGTGTAGACAGGAAAATATATAAAAATTAATTAAATATGCATAAAGAATTTATAAATTTAATTAAATATAGGTCAAAATCTCTGCCTACTTAGCTATAAACTATCAAATATATTTTTTTGGGAAAAAAAATCGGAATAGTCTCTAAGGAAGCTTTTCGAATGAGAGGGGGAAAATAAAGTTTGGAGATAAATTATAATACTTCATGCGAAAATCACTATAAGAAAAAAAAAAATGATATATGGGTGGCACATAATGATTTCTTCAAATTTTATCTATTAAAAACTAACTTGAGTGAAAAATATATTATGGAATTAATTCAGAAACTTCATTCTGTTAATAAAATAACTGAAAATAAGTGAATCTTTTAAGAACGAAATCATTGACCGACATTTTGCGTTTTCCCCCATCAAGTTCTACTGTACTTTCTAGATATTCTAGATATTGAGTGGTGCCTGGTGTAATACTAATAATAATATTAATGCCAATTTGTTATAAATTTTATTTTATATATTGATATTAATTCGTTGATTTATATATTAATAGGTAAGCAAATGACTTAATTATGGTCACATATGCATTACTCGCGTGACTAGAGAGAGGATGTGATAATGCGGGGTTGGCAACTTTTTAGAAATATACTTAATATTTCTTATAACTTTAAATATTTTAATTCTTTTCATAATTTAAAATTTTGTAGCTGGAATCTCATACTTTATTAAATTTTCAACAAAATTTCTATTGTTCAAACTTGTAAATATGTAATTATTTATAGCATTTGATTGATATAACTGATCATGTATTATCTCCGTATTAGAAGCGAGTTATAAATACGCATGATTTTGATAAACGTTGTTCTAAATACATATAACTTTTCAATTTAGGTACGTGTAATCTTTGCAACCTATAAATAATTAAATCAACTTCAAATGAAGAAGTATCAACGTTTAATGCTCGAAAGGATTAAGTTTATTAAGATATTAAGATTAATGATATATAATTAGTATATATCCATCTCCTAGGTTCTTTCTCCATTATTGTGGTTAGAAAATTTATCTGAAAATGTGAAAAAATATTAATGATCTTATATAATCTTTTAACAGGGATTGTAAAAATAAAAAGTCAAAGAAATCAAGAGGTATTTTTATATTTAAAAATAAATAAAAAATAATGTACAGAAAAAAGTTTTTTTTTAAGGATTTGTTGAATAACAAAATGTGTCACGTCAACTTTGGGAAATGACTCAATGAGTTACATACTAATCACAGAGTATTACAATTTATTAGGATTTTTATTTTTATTTTAATATCGACTACATTTTCCAAAGCTTAAAATATCCTCGCATTAATTTATTTTTTGAAGTTGATTTAATATTTTTAAAGGTAGAATTTTTCATTTTGTATCTGAAACTAGCAAATATAATTAGGTTAAAGGATTCGAGAACAACTAACTTACTCGCATATCTATATCCCAGAAAATAATAATAACAACAATTTACTTATACATCGTCGTTTGACCCAGTCCACTTTTCTTTTTCCTTGTTGTCTCTCAAATAAAAGTTGGCCGGAGGTTTAGATTTGACCCTAAAAGTAAAACTGCAATCCACCTTTTTTTTAATATATATTTATTATTTTTTAAAAATAACTACTTAGCTTCTAACTTAATATATAATCTAATATTATGTAGAAATATTTTAGAAAACTTAAGTCTCATTCATTATAATCAACTAATTATTTAATGATTAATATTTACTTCTTTAGTAATCAATAGAAGATAAAAGGATTCAACTCAAAATCTTCCATGCAAATATATAAAATCCACTTAAATTTCTAAATACATACTCAGACTTCTAAATCCCTGTCTCGCACTAATTTTCTCATCTTGTAACGACCCAAGTCGTCGATCTCCCTTTCAAGATTTTTCTGCTGTAAATATTAGTCAAAATTCTTTTATTTTTAAATAAAAATCTTATTTTAACATTAATTTTCTTACTGGGACCTAAATTGTCATTCTTTTTTCTTTTTTACCCGCAGAACTAAATTGTCATTAGCCGGTATCCCCCATGTGCCTTGGAAGATTAAATATTTTGAATTTTTTCAGTCAACATGGTCTCAAAATGGAAGACGTACACAATTACTTCTTGAAATAATCACTGTAGTGATTTTTGTTATCTTCTATCTATTCATATTATAAAGTATAAACATAATTTCTGTTGCTAAGTTTTTTGCAAATAAAGTTTTCGTTGGCATCATTTTAACATTGTAAACATTTATGATTTATGGCTTTAGTAATCAATAGAAGATAAAAGGTTGAACTGAAAAATATCAATGTATATACATAATTTCGAGTCACATACATACACGTTCACAAATGTTTGATGTAAAAAAAAGAAAATAACAGTTTAGGAGTTGGGGATTCTTTGTAGTCTGGGAGGAACATTCCGAGGTGATTTTCTATCTCTGCGATGCGAAACGGCGGCACAAGCTGCATTATTCCGCTGATTCTTTCTCCATTCCCATGGCTCCTCAGGATCAGGAGAAGCCCATAATCCAGCTTGCTTTACTCTTGCTTCTTCTTCCCACTACGTACCATACAAAATAATGCAAAGTTACTAAACAGATTAAAAACATACAAAACTGAAAACAAAAACAATTTAAATACAAAATTAAGAGGTTTTGATAGTACATGATTTATTACTTACATTTTTAAATTCTGTTCTCTTATCATAATGAGAGTAATACCATGCAAATCCTTTTTTCAGCATCAATTCCTTATTGCTTAATAAAAAAAGGAAAAAGAAATGTTAGGTGGCTGTTTAATTTTTATATAACTAGACATAAACAGGCTATGATGTAATGTTATCGCGGTAGATATCTCCCACAAAGCGTCCGTAACAATCTATTTCGTAAATAAGAATTCTCAGATTGAGACTTTCCCTGAACAATCTTAGTCAATTCCTCTGTTACTTCTTTACCGTATGGCATTTCATTTTCTGGTGCATCGATACCCCTAATTTAATTTCATAATTTAGGACATATATGTTAGTGTCTAATTAGCTCAAGCACGATAATATTTCAATAATTAAAAAAAATAACATACTTAAATTCTGTTTTGACTTAATTAGGTATATATATGCTGGCAAGTTTTGTCCAACTACCTTCTGCCTTTTTCATATACATGGCCACTGACTAATTCATACACTCTCCAATTCTATTCGATCCTAACTATACATACATACACATATATTAATGCGAATGCCTTCCTCATTGCTAATTGGTTTTAAAATGAACAGTGTGATCAAATAAGAATTTTAAAAATAAGACGGAGGCATGTGGAGTATAACTTTTAATTTTAGAGGAGGTTTAGGTTCGTAAGTTTTTAAAGTAAAAGAGAGATTTTGTGATTAAGAGAAGATAGAGGGGTGGTCGACATTATAATTTACTCTAATTGATATTTAATTATTACCTTAAACGTATTCTATACTTGCGTGCAAGAACCTCCTCGTTTTGAATCCTAATCACACTGAATAATATACAACAGAAGAGAACTTTATTAGTAGAGCTTATTTTGGTGATCCTGAAGAACACAAACATGCATTTTTAGAATTAAAAGACTACAATACCAACCGATATCCAGAATTGATGATTTCTTGGTGAAGGACATTAGCCTCTGCATAATTCCTCAAGGCTCGAGCTTCATTTCTTTTAGCATTTGCTTCAAGCACATGGCTAGGGACGCAAGAAATTTCTTAAGAGTCTAATGTCCGAACATAAATAGTTACGGTATCACCATCAGTCACTGCTCTTGCATCAACCTAAAGACGAAAATATACAACTATTTATAAGATAATCATTAAGGTTATTATTTGAATTATTAGATTAATGTAACAATAAATATCACTACTATATATGAAAGAAACGAGGTTGTTCTTACAGGCAAGGTATGTAGTTCAAGTTTGACTCCTTTAGGCAAGGATTTAGTTGTTTTGCTGTTTGCATCTACTAGGGCGTGTGGCAGAGGAAGACCATAGAACCTCAACGGTTCCTTTCAAATTAAACAAACCAAAAGTCTTAATATATATATACTCCTCCGGTGCTAAATATAAGACCCTTATACTAGTGAGTATAAAGGTATAAAAGTCTTATATTTAGGACTGGTGGAGTATGTCACTTGATTAGTTTAATATAATGCAAGTTAAGGATGAAAACAACTTAATTATATACCTCAATTTCGGCCCTTGGATGTTCTTGGAGGGCTTTAATGATGTACTGAGACACTTCTTTAGGAGTCTGAGGAACTTGTCCAGATTTTTTCCATGCATCTATCAATTTTCTAAACCTGCATCATTTGATTTTTTTTTCTTTTTTTTTTTTCAGAAATCAAGAAGAGTTTGAATACGCAGTTTCAAATCCTAGAGATACAGAAAAACAAATTAAACTGTGAAACAGTAAGCAAGGCCGATCGTTACCAGATAATCTGAGTTGCCTTCGATGATGAAACATGTTTTCTTAATCCTTCAGAAATCTTAACAGAGAGGCAAAACAAAAGCTAATCAACTATACTATATAAGAGTCAATGATGAATTTACAAAAGCACTAAAAAGGTCTACAACTATATATATACCTGACAAGTGTGATAAAATCGAAAGAGGTCTTGGCCGAGGACAAGGACGGCGTCGGATGAAGGGCATTGAGAGGAAATTGAGAGGAAGATGAATGAAAAATATGAACCGTGGGAGGCTTCGGCTCAAAAAAGGTGGGGAAGTTCTGGCATCTCAAAACGCTTCCAGTAGCCATTTATAACTTACTGTTGTGTTCTTTTTTATGCAATTAGCGAAGGAAAGAGAATTACTGTGTATGGATTCGCTTCATTTAATTATTGCAAAATGATCCTTTAATATATCTAATTACGTACATGTAGCTTGAATTATCTGAATTATAATTTTTTTTAATAATTTTTATTGAATATTAACAACATATTTCCATTTCATCCATTTTCTGTACCTTCTTTGTAAACAATCAAAATATTGGAATCATTACCTTTTTTAATTAATTCATAGTTTTTTTGGGCCAAAATTAACTCATATTAAAATACATATTAATGAAATAAAAAATTTAGTAACTAAATCATCTTTAGAAAATCAATATACCATGAATACAATAAATATTATCATATTGATAATTCATTTAATTTTAACTATATCATGTACTCGATTATATATGGGTACGGCTACAAATCTTTTATAAACATTACACACGCAGGAATTTATATTTTTTATGCAAAAGAATGGGATTTAAATTCTTTACTGGCGATGATATTGATGCTGATGTTATTAATATTATTATTTTGGTAAATGATATTAATATCAATGCCTAATTCATATTAAATTTTATAATTTATTAGAAAATATTTTTATTTACTCCTTTCGGCCTTGTTCTCTTATCAGCCATCTATCTGAATACAAAATATCAAGATTTATTTTTCTTTTTTTGTGAAAATAATTTAAATCAAGAGTACTATATTAATATTTGAATTATATCTCCTGGACGCCCTAAACAAATACTCCGTTAATCTATAAAAATTCATACCTTATGAATTACGTCCTGGAATTGTTTATTTCTCAGAATATTGATTGCTTCCACAAATGTACCGGATCTATGACTATTTCAGAGTCGTGCCTACGAAGAAGATACGTTTTTGAATTAGTTATTTAAGTAACTAAGATAAATTAAATCATATAAATGATGAGAGTAAATAGAAAATATAATAATAAAAATGAGAGAAAATTAATTGCAAGGAGAATACAATTACTTTAAGGTCCATTTGGTACAAGAAAAATGAAGGAGAGGAAAAGAGATGAAAAGTTTTAATGAGTTTGTTTTTAAAAATTAGAGAAGTAGGATAATAAAATACAATATAAAAAAGTAAGAAAAATTAATTAAAATATTTTTATCTAATTTTTCTAAACGAGCTTATTAAATTTTTTCCCTATTTTCTTCCTTCTATTTTCCTCGTACCAAACCAGTCTTGGGTGTTAGAGTTCAAGATTTCGTCCTATAAAGTTGCTAATTTCTGTCTTTTGAAAAATCAATCATAGGCATAAAGAAAAGTTTCAATATCTCAGAGAGAATTCTCAGAGTTCTTAAAATGATGTGGTTGGATGATTTCAGGGTAATTCCAGAGCCTTTATTTATAATCTTTCTGACACTGTGTTAAAAAAAAAATACTCTTTCTGTTTTTAATATAAAACCTAATTAATTAATTTAAATAAATTAAAGATGTTGGTTAAATTGATTAATGTGATATGTCTTTTTTTTTTAAATACCCTAAACATCTTTTTTAATTTTTTTCCTTCCTCCTTTACTTAACTATTATTGAGAGAATATTAATTTGAAAAAAATTGATAAATTTGTGAAATAAATCTTGCACATATGACTAATATCAACTCCCTAATTAGGTCCTGTACATAAGAGGAGTATGAAAAAAAATTTTGCTCTTCACGTCAAGATGTTTTGCAATCTCCAAAAATTCCAGAAATAATTCTTGAAGTACTTAGAACAGTGCGTAGGGAAATATTTTTATCAATTTCTGTTGTCCTATTCTCTTATTAATCCAGCCATCTAAATATCAAGACTTCTTTTTCTTTTTTCCAAAATATCTGAATATCAATAAATAATATTTGAATTATATATATCTCCCGGTTGTGTTAAACAAATACTCTATTAATCTGCGAAAATTCATACCTTGCGAATTACGTCCTGCAACGGGGGTTGGCGCAGTTGGGTAGGCAACTGCGCCACAATCCTCCTTACCTGGGTTCGATCCCTGGTAAGGAGATTGTAAAGAATCTCCGGTGGTAGCTCCCTCCCCTGGGGTACTGCCAAAGGCAGGTTTCCTTTCGGGCCTATTCGATTGGGGGCGTCAGGACTAGTCGGTTGTCGAGGGCCCATGCTGGTAAATCTGGCGTTGGCTTTCAGGTTAACGCCGGATACCTGGAAGGTGGTGCAATCGAAGGCCAAAATGGTCCAAGCATTCATCAAAAAAAAAAAAAGAGTTTTTTCAATTTAATTGTTTCTCTGAGTATTGATTGCTTCCACAAGTGCACCGGATTATGAGTATTTTAGAGTTGTACCTATAAGGAAGTTGCGTGTTTACTAATTTGCATAATTAATAATTTTGAAAAACTAAATGTGACACGTCAACTTGGGGAAATGAGTAGCGATGCCCTAATCACAGAGTATTTCAATTTATTAGGATTTTTATTTTTATTTTAATACTGATTAACGTTTTCAAAAACAAAAAATCTCTTTAAAAAAGCAGTTAAATAATCCAAATTCTTATTTAGATTATTGAATTCGTCAAAACCCTAATCAGGTCACATGACCCAAAAAGAAATATTAAAATTTCATGAAATGACTTTAACGCTCATTTCATTAGAATCTTAGAGAGTTGAGGATTTTTTAGCATTCCTGTATTTTGTAGGAGCTCTAAACAAAGGAAAATTAGTGTCTACTATTACAAAGTTGAAAAATTGATCAAGGAGGTAATGATGAGTTAGTTTTTATATTAAATATTTCTTCATTAATTATGATAGTTTTATCCCAAAAGTTGTTAATTTAAAATTAAAACGTCTGCAAAATAGAACATTTTAATTTTCAGGTTATATAGTTATAAAATTTTATTCAAAAACTTATTACAAATGTGCTATGCAAAATAGAAAGTTGTTAATTTACAATTGAAACGTGTTTAAATGTAAAATGAAACATGTTAATTTTTAAGAATGTATTATGATTAAATTTTATTCAAAAACTCATTGCAAGCGTGTTATGGAGACTAAAAATTATTAATTTAGAATTGAAACGTGTTAATTGTGAAATCAGAGATGTTGATTTTCAGGGTTATATTATAATCAAGTTTTATTCAAAGACTTAGAGCAACTGTGTTTTGGAGATATAAAGATATTAGTTTAGAATTAAAACTTGTTAATTAGGTAATTAAATTTATTAATTTTTTTATTATAAATTTATTAATTTTTAAGGTTGTATTGTACTCACATTTTATCAAAAAACAAAAAGTTGTTAATTTATAAATGAAATGTGTTAATTGCAAAATGAAACATATTAATTTAGAATTCTTCTTTTATTAGTTTCTAAGGGATGCTAGAGTCATTTTATAAAATTTTAAAATCTTTCTTTAGATCATGCAATCTAATTAAGAGTTTGACATATTTAATAACCTAAATAAAAATTGTTTTATTTAAACGTCTTTTTTAAGGGATTTTTCTTTTCAAAAACTTAAAAATATCCTCACATTAATTTATTTTTTGAAGTTGATTTAATGTTTTTTAAAGATAGATTTTTTCATTTCCTATCTGAAAGTCTGAAACTGGCCAATATAATTAGGCCAAAGGACTCGATCTGTATCCCAAAATAAAAAACTAACTTACTTGTATATGGTCGTTTAAGAAAAACGTAAAATTTAGCCTGAAAAAATAATTTAATATCTTCCCGGTCCCCTTCTCTTTTTCCCTCTTGTCTCTAAAATAAAAGTCAGGGGGAGATTTAGATTTAGTCGTGAACGTAAAATGAGAATCCACTTTTTTTCTCATATTTATTATTATTTTCAAACTAATTACTTAGCTTATAACTTAATATATAATCTAATATTATGTAGAAGTATTTTAGAAAAATGAAGTCACATTTATTATAATTAACTAATTTATTTAATTTCTTTTAATATATCCAAATTTAATGATTACTAATTACGTCTTCGGTAATCAATAGAAGATAAAAGGATTCAACTCAAAATTTTCCATGCATGTATATAAAATTTCTCAAGTCATACATAACAAACTACTACCTCGGTCCTAATTAGAAGAATTAGTTAACTAATTTGAGGAGATTAAGAAAATAAGTTAAGTTAGTTATTTGTAATAAATAGGTGTTGTATTTTCTAAAATATCCTTGTTAATTAAATGTATTGGCTAGAATTACCATTGCTAGAAAGACTACATTGGGAAAAAAACTCATTCGATCCTTAATATAAGACCTATTTAACTAATTAGATTAGATTAAGGAAGTTAGATAAATTAGTTAATTATAAGAAAAGTGACACATTTTTCCTAAAACACCATAATCATCTTTCTTAGTACCCTCTCTCCCTCTTCTATTTGATTATGGTCGAGGGAGTATCCATAAGCATAATTTATAGAAAATTGATAAATATGATAAATGGGTCTTATATTTAGGACCAAAACCAACTTAACAATTGGGTTCTATATTAAGGACCGAAGAAGTACATAAATATGAGAGATAAAGTGGATTGAAGTCTTATATTTAGAATCAAAATAAAAATCAAACAAGATCTTATATTAAGGACTGAAAATAGTATCATATAAGTTTAATAATTAACACTTTTTTTGGCCAACTTAATAATTAACACATTGCTTACACAACATCATTGTTAATTGTACCATTATAACTATACTCCTGTATCCACATCCTCATCCGCCTTGACAGTTTGCGGCAATTTGGATGAATAACTTAAAAAATGGTGTCACCGGAAAATACATGTCAGTTGTCGTGATGTGAAAGGAATCAATTTATTAAATGTCAGTTATTGCAAGTGGTCACACACTGATACAGGTAAGCAAGGGGGCAGAGCTATATGCATATTATTCTACATCCCAATTAGCCCCTTAGATATTTTATTCTTTTTGTTGTTTCAGTTCAACTACTTCTTATTGTCAGAAATGGTGACAAACGGCCAGGAATCCTGTAATTTTGCTCCCTAAAAAATTGCTTATGATGACCTGATCCTTTACAGAGAAAATAAAAGCCAGGAGGGTTGGTGGTAGTAGGCGAAGAAGAAGAAGAAGAAGATGAAGATGAAGATGGTGAAGGAGGGAAGAATGGGAAGAAATGATTAAAACGAAGGAAAGAGAGGCATGTGGGGGCTGAGAGGCCATTTGTTCACTGAAAACCAGGGAACAAAGTTCGTAGCTTTTCTTCTATTCCGTTGCAAAGCACACTTTTTCTGACTTGAGCATGCACTCTGGCACGTGGATACACCCATCCTTTCGTCCTTCTATAAACCCTGTCTTTCACATCACACACACACGGATTTTGCTGCTTGGTGTGACTAGGGGTGTCAAAATTATCTCCACTGAAATGTTCTCTGGATGTGAGATGGCCAACAGTCACTGTAAGTTCTTGAATGTTCAATGACGGGAACTATTGCCTTTAATCACTCATTATTGTTTTGGCCTTTAGTCACACTCATTATTGTTATTATTACTGGGGTTCTGTTGTTTCTCAATTATTGTACTAGGCATATATTTGTTTCCCCAATTATTGAATCATTCATTAACGATCTAGGCGCTTAACAGAGTGGCTTAATGATGAAAATTTGGTACCGGAAAGTTTTCTGAAATGTTCTGGGACTTTGATTTCATTGCAGAGGCGAAGAAACAAATCTCTGGAAATGGGTGAGAGGGAACTTTCGGGTTTAGCTATAACTGGATCTGAGAAAAAGGATGATACTGATAACATGTACCCCATGTATTTTGGAGTATCTTGTGCACTTTTGGCCCTCCAAGCCCTCTCAAATCCGTACGTGGAGGTTGAAAGATGGTCTGAAATTCGTGATAATATGCTTCAAGGAAGTGCCAAACTCTTGGGATTGCTGGTTTGGAAAGCTCAGAAGGACGGTTCAAAAGGAGGAGACTGCAATATATACGACAAACTCAGGGTTGCTGAGAGAGAAATTGAACACTTGAAGTGGATGAGACACGAAGATGCCAAAGCCAACGAGAAAGTTGTGGGAATCTTCGCTGCACAGGAGCAAAGTTGGCTCAATGAGAGGAAGAAGCTGAGGCAGCAAATTGGGGCTCTCATGAATGAACTGAGGGTGTTTGAGAAAAAGAAAGGGGAAGTTATTTCTGGACTGAATCTCAAATTGAAGGAAATGGAGGGTTTGGTTGAGTCTAAGGATAAGGCTTTGAAAGAAGAGGAGCAGAAGAGGAAAGAGATAGAAGATAAGCTGACAAAAACAGAAAGGGATAAGGAAGAATTGAGAGAATCAGCGAACCGTGAAGCTCATGAACATTCTTCTGAGCTTAGGAAGCACAAAACTGCTTTCATTGAGCTTGTATCAAACCAGAGGCAGCTCGAGGCTGAACTGGGTAGAGCGGCTAAGCAAGTGGAAGCGACAAAACAAGATCTTGGCTCAGTGTTGGAGCAGAAAGAGGAATCAGAGCTGTTGGCCCAGAAATTATCTATGGAGATTGCGAAGTTACACAAGGATTTTGAACAAAAAGATAAGATTTTGTCTGCTATGTTGAGGAAATCTAAGCTGGACACTGCCGAAAAGCAGATGCTTCTGAAGGAGGTCAAGTTATCGAAGGCAAGGAGGAAGCAAGCTGAACAAGAGACAGAACAATGGAGGGCAGTATCAGAGGGAAAACGCGACAGACATTCCCTAAAAAGCATGTTGGGTAAGATTGGCTCGAGAGTTGATGTCTTCCCAGGTTCAACAGGGTCGTCACATGTTGCCAGGGAGACAGATCATTTTTCTCTCCATTCTGATCAATACCGGCCAGAACGAAATGAAGAGTCGGGTAAGAATAATTTTTTCGGATTCTCAAGTATCTTCCTTAGTTTGTTGTTAATCTAAAAAATTCAATAATTACTTCTCCCATTTTCTGTTTCTAGCCATTGGCGGTAATGGCAAGCGTCTGGAAGAGTGGGTACGAGCTGAAGCGGAAAAATACGCTGGTATGATTGAGCAAAGGCATCACATAGAACTAGATGCTTTTGCAGAACAAATGAGACTCAAAGATGAGAAACTTGAAGCATTTCGATGGCAGTTACTGAGAATGGAATTAGAATCAAAGCAGCTTCAGTCCCATATGGAGGGACTGATCAAAGATGTGACACAGCTCAGGCATGAC